CAAATGCTGGAAAGATGGTGATTAAAATAATTCTTAATTTCACATCTACCATTTTTTATTGGTTTTTGCATCAGTATGTAGGTCTTCTAAAGAGTGTTTGTGTCACTTAGTTGCACATAAACTCCATGTTTTATACTTACTCTGGTTGACTGGTTGGTTGGTTTTCACTCCTCTACTTATCTGACTTTGGACTTATCTCGTAGGACGTTGGCTTACATAGACAGTTTTAAAGCAAACAAAAGCAAAAATTTTCATCTTCTATGACTTTTATTATGTTCTGAAAAGCACTTAGGAGTCTTAGTTTTTATTACTGGCATGAAAGACTCTGAAGTTGACAAATTGTACAGAGCCTTGCTATTATAAAATTTGTGAGAGAAAGCATGGAATTTCTGCTAAATGTGACTGTTAATATCTTAGGATCTGATTGGGGTAACTGTAATGTGAGAAACTATAGCGACATCTGAAAACTGGCACTCAAATGTATAAACAAATATAAAAAGAATTCATATTATCTATTTCTTTCTCTCCTTAGGTCAGTGGCCACAAAATATGACTAATGCATTGCCTCATTGATACATTAGTACAGTCATAAGGAGTATTATAAAGACATACCTCAAAAAGCAGACATGTTTTCAAAACATTATAATTGGGTCAAGAAAATGTTATATTTCCCTGTATTTGGCAAGGAGACTGGATAGGGAAGAGTCTTATTCTAAAATGACCTTTCATTTTTCACATCTCTAGTCTCCCAACCTTGAAGTGGTCCTTACCTGTTTTCTCAGGTGCTGATGACACAATGAGCAGATTGATTAAACTGCAAATTTAAATTTCTTCCACAGGAATTTCAGGACCATTTGGCCATCTTCTGTGTCATTAATCAGCTGCCTGCTGTTCCCTACAGCAGATATTTAGCAAATTTAGTCCTTCATCAAATATTTCTTAAACCCCAGCTCTGGGCCAAGTATTAATTCTAAGATCTGGGGATATAGCAGTGAATAATGCAGATGGGAAAAACCCTGTCCTCAAGGAGCTTATCTTCCAGCAAAATACAAAGTGCTACATCAATGTTGGTTAAATATAGGTAATCCTGTTCTTGGTGGAGTGACTATTGTCCCAGTTTGCCGGAAATGGCCCATTTCTACATTTTGATGGTGCTCTCTCCCTTTTACTTTTAATAGGGTCCCAATTTGAATGGTAAATTATATGACCACCATGGGTCTAAACCTTTTACATATTATTAATTCATTTAATTCATTTAAATTAATTCATTTATTATTCATAATAATCCCATAGGGATTAACATCCTTACACATGAAAACTGAAGCATAAAGAAGTTAAGTAATTTGCTTTTGGTCATACTAGTAAGTGACAACCAGAATTTAAACCCAGACAACAGCCTGGTTCCAAAATTTGTGGTCTGTGACACTATTCTGGCCCTGTCCTGTTATTCTAAATATTCACTGTCTTACTTTGACTGTCTACCATCCTCTCCAAGCAAGTCAAAGCAGGTAATCTCAGCTCCTTTTACCTAGAGTGAACTTATCTTTTATCTGGAGTGAGCGTCTTCAACTTGCCGCTCCCTCCTTTCCAAATTTGTCTTCATTTCTATTCCACCTCACTCCATCTCTCCATTTTTAGAAGGAATGTCCCTCTTTCTATCGAGAACTTGCATTTTAACCCCATCCCTTCCCACCTCATGGTGGACTCTGCTGTCTGAGTTACTCTTCTCTTTTTCTGGGCCTTCAGTCTCCATCTCTACACTGGCTTTCCCCATTCAGCATATAAGCATATCAATGCTGAAAGTATGTTATCACTCTTTAGAGAAGTTTTATAGTTGGGAGAAGTTTATTTTGTTTAAAAAAAAATTTTTTTTTTTAAAGATTTATTTTTTATTTATTTATACAAGCACTGGGTACAGTCAGAAGCGCGGGAGGGTGAGAGAATTCACCAGAGCCAGAGCGGAGAGCAGAGCAGGCAGAAGGACCGAAGTACACTGCTGAGGGGAGCAGCGGGCGGCAGGAGAGGTCTGCGCGCCATGCGGGACCCTCCTCTGGTGGCCGGGGAGCAGCCGGGGATCGAACCGGTGCTGCAGAGGCTGTGGGCAGCTTTGCAACCCAGCGCTCAACCGTTGCGCCACCGGGGAGGCCCAATTTTTGTTTAAAATTTATTAAGTAATAATACAGTAATGATAATTGGCTACCAGTTACTTATTACTCTCCTTAACTTCCAGGTACTGTAAAAATCTCTGATCCTTTTAAAGATGAAGAAATGGAAGCTTGGAGAGCTATGTAACTTGCTTAGTTTATGTATAGTGCCACTAAATTCAATCCTCTACCAGTCCCTACTGCACAGAAGAGAGTATTTAATACTAATATACAGTCTTCTTGCTTTTCATTTACTTTTCAACTCATCCTAGTCTGACTAGTGTAGGTTCAGGGTCCTCCAGGGAAACAGACTATCATCTAGTTCTCTCTGTATATATTTAAATATCTTTATCTGTTTAACTCTCTGTAGAAGCAAGGGGTGGGGGAAGAATGATTCATTTTAAGAATTGGATTATGTGATTGTAGGGGCTGCCAAGTCTAAAACCTGTAGGGCATGCCAGCAGGCTGGAAATTCAGGCAGAATTTCTTTTCTGTGGGAAAACTCCAGTGAAAACTTCAGTTTTGTTTCCATCAACTAGATGTGGCCCACCTAGATTTCCAGTACCAAGTCAATTGATTATAATGTTAATCTCATCTACAAAGTATCTTTACAGCAACATCTAAATTAGTATTTGAATAAGCAGCTGGGAAACCATTTTCACATCTTTCCTTTATCACTTTACAACATTTGACATTTTGGGCTACACATTATTACCCTTCTCCCTTAATTTCAGTGACCCTAATGTCCCCATTCTCTCTGTTCCTGTAGCTGTTCCTTTTCTGATATTTCAAGGACTTCATCTCCCAATTCTTTAATTAATGACATTCTCTCCTGTCATTGACCCTCTTATTAATGCCATGATTGATATTTCCAAATCTGAAATTCCATTATAGAATTCTTAGTGTCAGAACTAAATCCAATTGCCCTATTATACATCTCCCCCTAGATGTTGCAAACATCTCAAACTTTGTTTAAAATTAAAATCTTCTTCCTCCCCTCTCAAACTGGTTTTTGCATCTCTTCTATTCTCTTAGTTTGCGGTACCCTCCTTCTATGTATCCAGTTCCCAAGCCAGGAATAAGAGAGGAATCCACAACTTGTCCTTTACATTTACCATTTGAGACTTTCTCATCTCCATCCCTGTTTCAACCAAGAGTGCTCAACCTTCACTTTCCCTCACATGGAATCTTGTGGTCTTCTGCCTCCTATCAGTCTCTTTCCACTCACTCTTCACTCCTGAACACTAATGCCAAAGTGATATTTTTAAAATGCAAATCTGTTCAATATGTTTGAATTACTCCCGTAGCTCCTGATTGCTCATAGAATTAAGATAGGATTTCTTAGCAGTCATACAAGTGCTTCCATGACTTTTTTCCCCCCACTCACCTGTCTTTCTGTCAAGCCTTGTTGAAATTTTTATAGAGCCAGACTTGCCATGTCCTGTGCTGCTGTTTATTCTGCATGCCAGGTCCCCTTCCTCTGTCACTCCCCTGCCTCCCTACCCACCCACTGGGGGAGAGGGAAGGATCTAGAAAAGTTACTACAGTAACAGTTCTATCTTCTCCTTTAAATAATAATCTCCTACTCCAACAAATCAATTTGGCCATGCCTCCTTTATGGCATTAATATATACATTGTTTTCTTCTCTACTACAGCACTCCTTACTGTATTATTAATATTATTTTTAAATGTCTGAGTGTCACCTTTCAATGGACTAGAAGCTCTTTGAGTATTCCCACTGCTTAGCATATAATAGGTTCTGATCAGATGTGTGGTGGTGGTGGTGATGAAAAGCCCAGAGTGGATCTCACAGTTCACTTAAATAAGGCTATGTCTGGTTCAGAGGCATCATTGGCATGAACACATGCAGAGAGAGGAATGTCTTCCTTGTTTGTCTCTTCCTAGAGGCTACTGCTCCAACTTTTCAGACCTGATACCTTTTTATGTATATTTATCATGTTCTGATACCTGTTCTTAGCCTTCACTTTGTTTTTGTTTTATTTTGCTTGTATCCTTGGAGCAGTTAAAGAAAAAAAAAAAAAAGAAGCTGTTAAATTACTACTGCAAACTCCCACTGTCACATTTTCATCTTATCACAGGAGAAATCATACATCAACTTACTCTTGTGATGCTTGTGTTCCAAAAGAAGTCTTTTCTTGATCAGTTAAAAAAATTCTCATAATAAAAATATCTTTTTCAATAGTTTTAAAATCCTTCTACATCCCCAAAATGTCTCTATACATTTAATGTTGAAAGTTAAACCAGTTCTGTGTTAATCTTGAGAGAAATTTTTTTTTTTTAATTGTTACTAGGATAATGAATATTTTATGGGTCTTTAACATGAAAATTTCAGGTGACTGAGGGTCCTGCTACCCACATTGGGGTCAAAGGATAGCAGAGTGGCCAGCATCTCTACTAGACCTTTATGTTTTGTTCTACTCTAAATACACATGTAGAAGCTACTTGTGGTGTAACTCCTTATGTACTTAATATTTACCTGACGTAGTTTTCTTGATTGATTTTTTAAAATGGGTGAAGAATCTAGTTATGAATTCTTTGCCCTTTATGGAATGTGATATCTTGGTTTTGATTCCATCTGTCCCTCCCCTTAATTTCATCTTATTGTTTTGCATTGTGTTTCTGAATTAATGGCTTTGGCTTGTTTTTTCCTGAATGTTTCTGCAGTTTGGTTTGAGTTATCTGGCTTTGGGTACCCCTCCTGAACTTGGACTCCATCTGTACTTGTGACTCTTGGAAGGCAGAAGTCAGTGTTTTCTATGGAAGCTGACCTTTTAAAAAATATTATTTATGTGTGTGTCTTTCCCCTCCCTTCCTTTTTTGGTTTCTCCTAAAAGACCGGGAAGAAAGCAGTGAAGGCCGTCCTGTGGGTTTCAGCAGATGGACTCAGAGTTGTGGATGAAAAAACTAAGGTAAAATTTTTATGAACGTAAAGGTTCTGCTCATATTTTTTTATCCCTGATGATCAAATGTAATGCCACTAAGCTGTGTGATGTAGTCACGCTATATCCCATCACTGTGTCTGTACACAGTCTTCTGGGAGACTAGTTAATGTAGAGGAAGCCAGTTCAGTTAGTTTTACCTTATGAAAAATACTTGTCTCAGCATTTCGCTGTACATGACACGGCATGTTTAGCATACTAAGTATTTGCATTTAATGTTAAGGTCTGAATTCAATTTTTGTTCTTCTACACACAAAAGTTTATCCCTACAAATTTCATGTAAAAGATGGACCGTTTAGTGCAGTTGAAAAAAAAATTGAGAGGATAACAGATCACATCTGAAATGTCTTCTTGTTCTGTAGTTAAAAATTATGTTTTTAACCTGCTATTTAACTAAAATCCCAATTTAAGTGAAATTTTAAGAAATAGTAATGGCTGTTTCTATTTGGCTATTTTTAAATGGCTAGAAAATTTTAAGAAATAGTAAATTGGTTAACTTGGAATCCACACAATATCTAAAATCATAGGTAGCATTTTGCATTGGAGAGAAAGTGATCCGAAATACCTAAATAAGACTAGATACATAGACTCTGCCCTTAGAGAATATGAGGTATTATATAAGTACATTTATTTAACCATTCATTAATATTTCCTAAGAGACCTGAAGTCCAGAAATTTTAATAAGAAAGCAGTTTTTAAAAAAATTCAAATATTAGAGGAAGGGAAAGAAAGTCTGGCAGGTAGTGAAGAGCAGTTTGGGTGGATAACTTATCTGATAGATTTTAAGTGATTGAATACTGCTTCATTTTGGTTCTTTTGATTTTCCATGTAAAGCCTTTTAAAGTTCAAGAGCTGCAGCAGTCTAAGTGTAGATTACTTATTGTTGCTAACAAAAGCCATTTTAATTGACTTATTTTAAGGGCTTTTTTGGCTTTCATTAATGTTTGGATGAAATTTGTATGTGGGGGCTATATTTTTGTTTTATGCCATGGTTAGAATGTGTTGTAGCCCTCTGGTGGCTACTTAGGCTACTGACATTAAAATTAATTTACTTTTCTGCATTAAGTGATAATACTAATTGGTGGCTTATCTCCCTTGGATCTATCATAAATGGAGAAGAAATTTTGCATTGTGTGTATTCTACAAAGGGTTAATGTTCATAATCTATAAAGAACTCCTATGCATCAATAAAAATTACAAGTAATCCTAAAGACTTGCAGAGCCACTTTATTAGAGGCAATTAATAGTATCAAGGTCATGCAAAATAAAATAACAATGAACCACCAGAATTGCATAATTTAAAAAATAACTGGCAGGCTTATAGAGCAAAAGGAATTTTTTTTTTTAAGATTTATTTATTTATACAAGAACCGGGGCACAGGCCAGATGCTCAGGAGGGTGAAAGGATTCACCGGAGACAGAGTGGGGAACAGAACAGGCAGACTGAAGAAATACACTGCTGAGGGGAGCAGCAGGCGAGACAGGAGAAGTCTGCTTCGCCATGTGGGATTCTCGCCGGCCGGTTGGGATTGAACCCACGCCGCAAAGGCTGTGGACAGCCTCACAGTGCAGCGCTGAACCACCTACGCCACCAGAGAGGCCTCAAAAGGAATTCTTATAATGATGCTTTATAAAACCTATTTTGTTTGATTGTGTGTTTTAGCAATTACAGCCCCAGCTCAGCATCTAGGGATTGTAGGCCATTGGAATAGCACGTAGAAGAGCCTCGGCCTCTCAAGATTTTTAAAAACAGGGCCTCCCCGGTGGCACAGCGGGTTGAGCGCAGCACTGTGAAGCAGTCCACGGCTTCTGCAGTGCGGGTTCGATTCCCAGCCAGCCAGGGAGATTCCCACATGGCACGGCAGACCTCTCCTGTTGCGCCAACTGCTCCCCTCAGCAGTGAATTTCGGTCATCTGCCTGTTCTGCTCCTCGCTCTGTCTCTGGTGAATCCTCTCACCCTCCCACACGTCTGGCCTGTATCCCAGCTCTTGTATAAAAATAAATAAATCTTTTTTAAAAAAAAAAAGATTTTTAAAAACATCTTGAGTAACCTTGCCACTCAGCAAGTATAGAAACAAAGTCAAACTCAAAATTAAATGGCCTATAAGTTAACAAATATATAGAACTATCCTGGGAATTAAATATATGGAAATTGGATTGAATATATTGATTACAAGTATTGTCAAATTGAACATGGACTGTGCCAAGATAAAACGGGCATTAACAAGCATATGTTTTAAAACATGAAGTTGAGATGAGGGAGGCTCTGGGCAAAGTGCACCTTGGGCATGTCCTGTTATATTTTCAGTATTCAAAATGCTGGCCTCAGCGCTAGCTTTTCCATAGCCTCATGGCAGTAGATGGAAGAACTCTCTTATGAAATAAACAGCCTATGTTTCTTCTGAGAAACTTGAATAACATCTCATAAGTCCTTTGTGCTTCCCTTTTTCCAGGACCTCATAGTTGACCAGACAATAGAAAAAGTTTCTTTCTGTGCCCCAGATAGGAACTTTGATAGAGCCTTCTCTTACATATGTCGTGATGGCACCACTCGGCGCTGGATCTGTCACTGCTTCATGGCTGTTAAGGACACGGTGAGTCCGAAGTATGGATTGCATCATGTGAGCCTCCTTCCTGGTTGACTCAGCCAAGCACTTTCCACTGCATTTTTAACAACTGTAAGCTGTTATAGCACTTGGAAGTACCTAAACCAGCCTGCTTTTACTCCTTTAATTCAAGTAGTTTGCACTCTTGGTATGAAGGTACAAGATGATTGTCTGAGAGCCAAGGTCACTAGAGGAAAGTAAAAGTGCTCTGGTGATGGTAACTGCTAACCTTTATTTGAAACTTCATTATTAGGACTGTTTTCAGGATTCTTTATCTGTTTGCTGATATGTCTGAGTAGAAGATCTGTCATGGTTGGAAGGTACTTATACATTTATTTGTAAAGGAGACTACTACAATGAAAGAACTGAGTTAGAGTATATTTTCAATTAAAAAATAAAAATGTTAGGGTCTCTCCAGTAGCGCAGCAGGTTGAGCGCCGCCCTGTGAAGCTGTCCGCAGCCTCTGCAGCGCGGGTTTGATTCCTGGCCTGGCCAGGGAGAAACCCACATGGCGTGGCAGACCTCTCCTGCCTCTCCTGCTGCTCCCCTCAGCAATGTCTCTGGTCCATCAGCCTGTTCTGCTCCCTACTCTGTCTCTGGTAAATTCTCTCACCCTCCCGCGCCTCTGACCTGTACCCCGGTTCTTGTATAAGTAAATAAATCTTTTAAAAAAATTTTAAAAACAAACAAAAAAAATGTTAAATTACTGCACCACATAATTTAAATGTTAAATTATGTGGTGCAAGGGGTTGGGACACAACCTATGAAGCTGTCCGCAGCCACTGCAGCATGAGTTAAATCCCCTGCCAGGGATTTACCCACATGGCGCAGCAGACCTCTCCTGACTCGCCCGCTGCTCCCCTCGGCAGTGTATTGCAGTCAGTTTGTCTGTTCTCTTCCCCTCTCTGTCTCTGGTGAATCCTCTCACTGCTCCTCCTGGCCTGTACCCCAGTTCTTATGCGCATAAGTTAATAAATCTTTTTTAGAAATGTTAAATTATGGCACAAAGAGCTATGTTAGAAATTAGTGGAAATGTTTTTGTTTAAAAATAGAAAATAATTTGTCATCCTTCATGTAAATGACCCAAAATGGACATGAAAAATAAGTCTCTTAGATGATGATAATCTAAACTTTAGCATAGCATTGAGTGTATACAATCTCTTAGTTTTTAAAAATCCAGACAGAATAAGATAGTATAGCCAGTCATGAAGACTACAACTCAATAAATTCTTGCAAAATTTAACCTGAAAGGGAAATGGTGGCTGTGCTCTAAAACTAACTGAAAGTTTTTTGGTTTTTTTTTTTTTTTTTTTTTTAAAGTTTTTTGAGACAGTGGTATAGATATTAAGAGCTTAGGCTCTGTGTCACATCTGGGTTCCAGTCATGGTTTTGGTTATTTGGGGCAGGGTGCAAGTTATTTAACATTCTCAAAGTATTAATATCTACTTTTATAAGATGGAGTTAACAGCTGGGAAGACTGAATTAGATAATCAATATATGCACTCAGTGCATAGACTCTGGCCTATGTTAACTGCCCCCAGAATGATTGCTAATATTTTTCAAGCTGTGCCTCCTTGGTGTGGTATTGGTGCTTTAAGAATGAGCTGTAGTAACTATACTTTCTTCCTCAGACTCTCAGATCTTAGTAAGCTGCATAGTGGTATATTTTTCTATTACTGTACTCATAAAATACAGAGTTAAGAGTGCCCCTATATTAATTTAAAAATCATTTTATTTTCAAATTACAGCCTTTAGGCTATTTTGATCTCCTAGACCCAGTGGTTTGCCTATACCTGAATCACCAGGAGGACTTGTTAAAACATTGTTAAAACACCCCCAGAGACTTTCATTCAGTGGGTCTGGGGTAGACTTGAGGAGTCTTTCTCCAAGAACTTCTGCTCTAGACCTAAGAAAAATAAGTTTTCTTGACTTACAGTTCTGTTCTTACAATAGAGCTGTATTCACATGCAAACAGTTTCTAAGATTATTTTGTACACCTTTCTCCAATTTCATACTTCAGTGCCTAACCTCATTGTATCCACTAAGTAGGTAGTGGAGACTCATGTGGATTCATAAAAAATATTTCTCAGACTTTAAAATAAGCAATCATGGGAAATCTTAGCGACAAAAAGCATTTTAAACATTACCTCTCCTTAAGATATCTGATACTAGCCAATAAAGTCTAGTAAAACTGTTCAGAGCCATATGTAGGAGCAGCTGCCTACCTGATGTGATTTTGTAAAAGCCTCAGAGGACTCCTAGTTCTCAAATGTCTCACTATAAAGGATGCCAACTATTACTTTATCATCTCTTTTTCACAACTAGGAATATGGTTTCAAATGCAGATAAATCTAGTTTAAAAAAAATAATCCATTGACTTTATTAAGTTAACTCTAGGTGATCCTGTGTATGTTTAAAACAATATTTAGTCTATGTAAATCCTCCTCTCCCCACTCCCAAACAAATATACTTTTTTTCTGTTTAAATCCTTTATAAACAGAGCATGTGGATGAACACATCCTTTAACTTTTGCCTGTACATGGTTAGGAGGTTGAGGTGGGGGTTAGAGAGAGCTGGAAGAAGGGAAGATACGGGAAAAATCAAAGAGCATTGAGGGCCTGGAACAGGGCAAGTTGCTTGGGGTTAGGAGAACATTCAGCATTGAAGTTGTATTTATTTACCTGAAGTTGTACATTTGCTCTTTTTGTTCCTAGACATGTTGACAGCATATTTCAGCTACTGAAATGTGCCCTCCCTTTCCAGTGGTTTCTTAGAAGTTCTTGGTAAATATTTCCACTATTCCCCTAAACAGCACGTAGAGGTTTTGTGTCAAAGTTTAGGGCTTAGAATCTTGAGTAGCGTCTCCTACTATGGTGGTCAGAGCTAATGTGACCGGGGAGCCTGACGGATCTGGAGGTCTCAGTAGCTGCTGTAAAGCACAGGTTGCTGATGGTTACTTTCCTCAATTCTACTACAGTAAAAGAGCATAAGCATTACCTAAGGTAATTTATTTATTTAAATTGATTTAGTGCATTAATATATTAAAATATAATTTTAAGCTGAAATTCCCAACATTTTGCTTTGTGTGAAAGTAGGCTTACTTGTATGTCAAGCTTATTTGTAATTGTTGGTGATGGTAGCCCTAAAAAAGTGTCTCAAACCTCTGTTATATACAGGGAGAAAGACTGAGCCATGCAGTCGGCTGTGCTTTTGCAGCCTGTTTAGAGCGTAAACAGAAGCGGGAGAAGGAATGTGGAGTGACTGCTACTTTTGATGCTAGTCGGACCACTTTTACAAGAGAAGGATCATTTCGTGTCACAACAGCCACCGAGCAAGCAGAAAGAGAGGAGATTATGAAACAAATCCAAGATGCCAAGAAAGGTACAATCCTGTTTTACCACAATGTGTGTTTATTTAACATGTTTTTCCACAACAGGCTAATAGTTTGAAGCTATTAGTGCAGTCTTTCTCACAAAGAGAACCTTTAGCAGTATATGCAGACCTTAAGAGCAAAGCTGGAAGTCTAAACAAAATCCCTTCCTATAGAGTAGCCAGTTTGGTGGCTTCAAGCATGTTTACATTTTCCAATACATTAAGCCATCTGGGAAGTAAAGACTGAAGTTGAAAAAACTGCAAAGACATTCACACCCCTACTACTCCCCTCCCCCACAGACACACACAAACCATTGTGTTTAAAAACAAAATGGGGAAGGCCTATCTCCTAGAACAGATTTTCAATTTTGAGGCATCTGATTTTTGTGTGAAGCAAAATGCCATCAAGGACCTACATCTTAACGGAAGAAGTAAAGTCCCAGGTGTAGGCTCAAAAGATCTACCCATTTTGATGTTGGTTGCAAATATACACAGTGGTTTCACAGTTATACTCCTCTTATTAGATTATTGCTGTTTCCAGAGCTTTAGTGAAAAAATTCCATAGATTTTGAAAAGCTAGCCTTTAACTCTTTTTCCTATAGCCCTGTTAATTTTGCAGAATGTGAGTTTTTTCAAGTGTATGCAGCACCGCATAGCAGAAATGCCTGTACAAGCATTAAAGTTGCTCAGGAGCCTGTTGACTAAGCTTGGGTGAGGGTTATTTTAGAACTGATAGGACTTGGGGAAAATGCTTTGCATTCTTGCATATCCTAGGGTTGAAACCAACAAAAAATATTGGAATAAAGCTGTTCAATTTAAATGTACATTAATATAACATTGCTAATTTTTTACTGTATCCTTTTAGTTGTAAGACAGCCACCTTAGATAACATCATTAATGTGGATTTAAATAGCCCCAATTCTTAAGTCAAAAAAATACATGTTTTATTTGAAATTCAATTATTGGTGGTAATTTTTCATCTTACAAACATTTATGTTAAGATGCCAAAGAATAGAAAAATGTTCTCTTTAATAGAAAATTTAATATGTATAGCTATTTAATGTGTTTCAGTGATTTTTAGACTAGAAGCATATTCTTCAATATCACAGCATAATATGCATTGCTATAAACAGCAACTAGAAGAGAGGTTAAATCCTAGCATCCGCAAAGGATTGTGAGGGGAGGGATGTAGAGATTTACTTCAGTCAGAATGGGACTAAATTAAACCTAAAATTAGGTTTAATTTAGTGTGAAAATTTACTTCTGTATGCTTTTGTGAGCCACAAATGCATACTGCTCTGATGATCTAAAAACTCTGTGACATTCTTTGACACGTAATCAAATGTATTGGTGTAAATCTTTCTGACCCTGCATTCTCTAAGTCATCTCCCCCAAACAAATAAACAAAAACACTGAAAACCACAAATCACCATTCTTTGAATGACCTTACATTAAGAATTCATAGGTACTGTTTTTTAAAAAATTGTTTCAGAGTCCTCAATTATGAATCACTGCATGGTAATCAGAAATCTGTTATGTCTTAGTAGATGTCCCATGTGACATGTCAGAGATAATAAAACCCTTTATTTATCTGAAAAATAGGAGTTCTGAGATTTGCTTCTAACTTGTCTTTTGAAAGACATTGGGAAAGAAATGGGTAAAAAGACTTAGGATTATTATTATTAGTATTATCATCACTTGATAAAGTATTATCATCACTTCCACTAGCTGCCACTCTCTCTGAGGCTGGTTGAAGCTAGTATCTTATATCTTTTCCCACGGAGAGAAAACTAAGTTCCCTAGAAGGGGAACATGAATCTTTAATTTCTTTTCAACAAATAGGTAACAGAACCATGATGGGAATTTCTAGGAGGAGGGTATTTGAGTTCCTAGGCTTGGTAAACTCAAATTATTTGAAAACATTACTAAGTTCCTCTTTCTCTTGACTTTCTTGAGCTGAAACAGATAAGACAGTTGTTGGTTCATCAGTGACCCCTGGCAACACTGTCCCATCCCCGTCCTCTCCCACGTCTCCCACTTCGGATGCCACTCTATCTCTGGAGATGAACAACCCTCATGCCATCCCACGCCGGCATGCTCCGATTGAACAGCTTGCTCGCCAGGGCTCTTTCCGAGGATTTCCTGCTCTTAGCCAGAAGATGTCACCCTTTAAACGCCAGCTCTCCCTACGCATCAACGAGTTGCCTTCTACTATGCAGAGGAAGACTGATTTCCCCATAAAAAATGCAGGTAATGCTTGTACGCCTGATTCGCTGTATGTGCCAGCACTGAAGTATTATCATCACTTCCAGTAGAAACATTCATCCCATCAAACTAGCTGCCACTCTCAGGCTGGTTGATGCTAGTATCTTATATCTTTTCCCACTGAGAGAAAACTAAGTTCCCTAGAAGGGGAACATGAATCCTTAATTTCTTTTCAACAAATAGGTAACAGAACCATGATGGGAATTCCTGGCCTGAGCTAGAAGATGTATGGTTTGTTCTGGTGGAAGTGTACTTCCTCCTAACTAACCTGCTTCCAAACATCAAGGGTCTCAAGTTGCCATTCTTATTCTGCCATTTGGGACCCAACAGGGAATTAATTAAAAAGGCTTTGGAAACGCATCCAGTTAAATAGCATTACTGTCAGATGTACCAGAAGAAATAGGTAAGTGCTCATTGTCCTGTGAATGGCTGACTCCACAGGGAGGAAACTCTAAACGGGTCTCCTTATAAATCTAAGATCTGTTGTGCATTAAAGACAGTGGGTTTCCTCACACATATTCATTACCTTTCAGAACTGCCACACAGGCCTTTGTGTGGCCTCTCTACAACTGAGCCAGTCCTGGTAGCTCTAGCCTCATCATAAGATCCGGAGCTAAAGTGTCAGATGTGGTCAGTGCTTTTATTGGGCTCTGTTTTAGTTCATTCTGAGACATGCTAGTGCTGTCAAGCTGGTGCTATAACAAAATATGAGGAATAGGGCACTCCTGCTGATGGTGGTGGAAAAGTACAGTGTTTAGTCTGTTGCTTGATGAAACTAGGACTAAAGAACAGCTGAACTAGATGATTACTGAGGGTCTTTCCAGCTCTCAACGCCTATAAAAACCTAAAATCTTGATGCTTCAAGTATCTTGTTTTTAATCTCCTTCTGGGGCAGATGAGGAAACAACTTGACAGTTGTGCAAAGTTTCTGCAGAAATAACGGGCTTCTTCAGTGACACTGAAGTATTGCAGAGTTGGTATAAAGCACAAAGGCTCAAGGGTCCTGGATCTCAGTTTACATTTAACTTATCACAACTCGTATACTTGTATATTGGAGAAAAATAAGAGTGATGACATTGGCATAGCTTATTACTGAGAAAAAAAAAAAACTAGGTATCCACTGGTTGACTCATTTTCTGAGAGAGTTACTTTATGGTACAGAACTTAATCAGACCACAGCCTTGGAAACTGGTTGGAAGACAGACATGTTGCAGATGTCTTCCAGAAAGATCTGATTAGCCAAACAGCTTGGCACAAAAAGAGAACACCAAGTTTTCAAGAGTGTCATAGGGGAGGATATAAAGAAGTTTGGAGATTTGCAAGAAAGGCATGTAGACCCTAGTACATGAATTGCTGACATTTTATACCTTCCCATCTGAAAAGTCAATGGAATAATAGACAGTAAATTTTTTTAAGCTGCCTTTTAGCTCCATCTGATAATTGAGCTGTTTCCTCCCACAAATAAAAGATGCAGTATAAAATGTCACTTTATGACATACTGTTATATTTCAGGATTATTCTGTTTGTCTGGAGCAACTTTCTGTTGTCTTACAGTACCAGAGGTAGAAGGGGAAGCGGAGAGTATCAGCTCCCTTTGCTCACAGATCACCAATGCCTTCAGCACACCCTCCGAGGATCCCTTCTCATCAGCCCCAATGACCAAACCAGTGACAGCAGTGGCACCACAGTCTCCTGCCTTTCAAGGTTGGTGCCCTCTCAGCCTGTTCACTGTTCTCTTTGAAACTGGTGCTTTTATGATGCTGGCATCCTGCGCTTCCAAAGAGCAGGTCAGACCCATAAACTTCTCTGTTGATAATGTCTCAGATTTAATTTCCTCTTGGACAGTGTCTGTGTTTTGCTCTGCCTCCTGTTTGCTGAGAGTTTACATTTATCATTTTGCATGTACTTACCCACCTTCCATCCCATTCTATTAGGAGTTTGTATAGTCCCAACTCATTGCATTATAAACCACTCATCTGTTAACAGTCAGTATCCAGCCAGCTCTCAAAAACAGTCATCAGAGTTGGTTCTAGCATTATGCTTGCCTTGCTTAGGGTTCTCAACCCAGGGTGATTTTGCCCCCTTAGGGGAAAAAATGGACATCCATTGTCTGGAGAAATTTCTGGGTTTTATAATTTGGGGTGTGGATGGGGTTTGCTACTGTTATCTGGGTAGTGACCAGGAATGCTACAAAATGCTTCTATGCACAGGACAGCTGCCCTCACAACAAAGAATTATGCAGCCCACCACATCCGTAGTGCCAAGGTTGGGAAGACCCTTCATGAGAGGCTCATAATGAAAAGGGCACTCCTCTTGGCTTTTCAGTTCATCTTTTATAATGAGTATCTGAAAATTTGCCTTTGTGATACCAAAGAGTTACTAAAAGTTGTATTCAGAGATACTGAGCTAACAGTTGATATTGACTCAGAGGTCAGCAAATAGTTTATATAACTTGACTTATAGGCTTTTTTAGAATTTGAGCTCCTATAGTTGGTGTTTCTTCATTTATTTTGAGAGAGAGTTCAGGAAAGGTTGTTTTAGAGACAGTTCCCTTCTTTTATTGGAGGAAACTACTACATGCTTTCCCTCTAGAAAGTTTCTTTTTTAAAAAATAATAAACCTTTATGGTCATGTGTACCAAATGACTAAATCCCGTATAACAAATATTTGTAATACTAAAAGGTACAATTTATCAAGTACTTAGCAGAGTGCCTGCTACATCATGGCAAGGATTCCCATCTCCAGAAAAACCCTTTGAGACAGACATTACAAATAAGGAAAGATGAGGCCCAGAGAGGTTAAGTAAATGGCCTAAATTGCACAGCCAGGAATTTTTTTTTTAAAGATTTATTTTATACAAGAATTGGGGTACAGGCCAGATGCGTGGGAAGATGAGAGGACCCACCAGAGACAGAGCGGGGAACAGAACAGGCAGGCTAACGAAATACACTGCTGAGGGGAGCAGCAGGCCGGGATCGGACCAGCGCTGCAGAGGCTGCGGACAGCTTCGCAGCGCGGCGCTCAACTGCCTGTGCCACCAGGGGAGGCCCACATTTTTTTTTTAAGATTGTTTATGCATACAAGAGCTGGGGTGTAGGCCAGAGGTGTGGGGCAGGGGGTGTGGGGGGGACGGGAGTGCTGGTGAGAGGATTCACCAGTGACAGAGTGGGGAGCAAAACAGGTGGATCAACTGAAATACACTGCTGAGGAGAGCAGCAGGCAAGACAGGAAAGATTTGCTGTACCATGTGGGTCACCTCCCTGGTGAGGGATCAAACTCATGCTGCAGTGGCTGCAGATTGCTTCATAGTGCTAAGACTTAATCTCTTGCACCACTAAAGAGGCCCCTGCACAGCCAGGATTTAAATCCAGATATTTGTGAATATAGTATCTGTTTATTACATTCTCTTGACCTCGTGACTGTATACTACAAGGCAATGGTATACAAAACTGAATAGTACAGGGGCCTCCCTGGTGGCACAAGGCATTAAGTCTCAGCACAATGAAGCTATGCACAGCAGACCTCTCCTGTCTCGCCCACTGCTCCCCTCAGCGGTGTATTTTAGTCAATCTGCCTGTTCTGCTCCCCACTCTCTCTGGTGAATCCTCTCACCTCCTCCCCCACACCTCTAGCCTATATATACCCCAGTTCTTGGATGCATAAATAAATTAAATCTTTAGAAATAAAAAGTCTTTAAAAAATAACTGAATAGTAGTACAAAGTCCTTTCTGTGCCTTTTAAGGAGCTCCAAGTCTGTGGGTGAGCTAAATTTTAGACAAGACCTGGGTAAATAGTACCAACACCGTAAGCGCAGTTGCCCAGTCCCAAGAGGGAATGACTTTAGTCAAAGGCAGGGGACAGTGCCTGCTTGATTGCTCTACTAAATACAGTACTCGATACAATAGAGGTGGGCTCAAAAGATACACTCAGCTCATGGATGGAGATGGAAGGGATAATGCTATGTGAAATAAGTTAAACAGAGAAAGATAAATATAGGATGGTGTCACTAATATGTAGAATATAAAGTAACTATAAACTAAGAGTCAGATAAAGACAAGCTTAAAAATGAACGCTGGTAGCTGACCAAGGTGGGGAGTAGTGGAGGAGGGTTAAGAACAAGGCTATATCAGCCTTTTGGAGGGCATGAAAGAATTAAATGAGATGAACCACACTAACGTACTGTCAACATAGTGCCTAACACATAATAAAGGAATCATTATATTATTGGCATAAAATGATCTGAAAAATGGTAGAAGAGCAAAAAGCTTTACCTGTCAATACATCATTATGCCAAAGGCTAAACCTATATCTGTTTGTAAGACAGAGCAGCTCTGTTCAACTTAATTTGAAATTATTTTCCAGGCTTTATTTCCTCTCTCCCAGTGTGCGTATTTTCCTAGTGTAGTCATTTGACCTTATCAGTACAGCCATTTTAATTACTACTTCTAATTCCCTCTGGCAAAAGGTTTGCGTATCTATGGCAAGATGGCATGCTAATCCCAACACAACTTTCTGTCTTATCTGTTCCACTGGTATTGCACATTGGCCTGACTACCCAGCTCCAGCATTCAGCTGTACTCCCCGATGAATTAACTCCATTGATGTTGTCTGCTCCCATTGTAGCTAATGGCACTGACTCAGCCTTCCATGTGCTTGCTGCTAAGCCAGCCCATACTGCTCTAGCACCCGTAGCAATGCCTGTGCGTGAAACCAACCCTTGGGCCCATGCCCCTGATGCTGCTAACAAGGAAATTGCAGCCACACATACGGGTAAGGTGGCCACAGATGGTGGTGAGGATTCTGGGATCAGATAAGTGACCCTGGTTCAAAAATCAGCCATTTACCAGAGTGGGAATCAGGGAGGAATCCTGTTGGGAAAAGTATGTTCCCTCCTGGAAATAAATCTCATCTACCAAATGTTATGAACACATGGTGAAGAAGAGAAACTAAATAGAGGTTAGACTGCTAGGTCTTAGGTCACAGAGCAGAACTACCCAGGAGCTTTAATAAAACACAGACTTCTGAGCCTCACCTGGAGAGTCTTACCATTGGATTTGGAAATGGGCATGCCCATCGGAAGAGGGGACCCTGCCCCCTGCAATGAATGGCAGGCCTATAAAAAAAAGTAGTTTGTGTTTCTGTACATTCTTGTTTTCTATAAGGAACACCAGTTAGCTATAAAAACAAAAAATTTTTAAATAGTAATCAAGTCAAGTCATACCAGAAAGACAAAAGGTATGTGGCAGCCAGGCGCGGGCCACAGGGACTGCACCAAGTTGCTCATTGTTTTTTTTTTTTCCTGTGCTGTTAGGTGAATGACGCTGGGCCCTTTAGATCGTGGGCAGACTGGTTTCTGGTCTGTGGATGAGCCACAGCAACAGAGAGGGGCTCTGATGCCAGCCACTGCCTTGGTCCATGCAGTTGAGCCACTAGACCTGGGCTCTGGGATGGCTGAGACAGCAGCATGGTCTGACAGGTTCTTTTTTATCCTACCACGAAACTTCCTCAGCTGGTAATAAGAGACTTTCCTGGTAATAAGAGACCCATCAAAAGCATAGAATGTGCCCACTAGGGGGACTTGTTCCACACGTTAGGATCATTCAAATAACTAAGGTCACTAGGAGAATGAAACCTCTAATGACTCTGTCTCTCTTCATCTTGTTGATTCCAGGGACCGAATGGGGTCAATCTTCTGGTGCTGCTTCTCCAGGTCTCTTCCAGGCGGGCCACAGACGCACTCCATCTGAGGCTGACCGCTGGTTAGAAGAGGTGTCCAAGAGCGTGCGGGCTCAGCAGCCCCCGGCCGCGGCTGCCCCTCTGCAGCCAGTGCTCCAACCTCCTCCACCCACTGCCATCGCCCAGCCAGCTCCGCCTTTCCAGGGGAATGCATTCCTCACCGCTCAGCCCGTGCCAGTGGGTGTGGTCCCACCCCTGCAGCCAGCCTTTATCCCTGCCCAGCCCTATCCTGTGGCCAACGGGATGCCCTATCCAGCCCCTAACGTGCCTGTGGTGGGCATCACTCCCTCCCAGATGGTAGCCAATGTGTTTGGCACTGCAGGCCACCCTCAGGCTGCCCACCCCCATCAGTCTCCCAGCTTGGTCAAGCAGCAGACATTCCCTCAGTATGAGACGAGCAGTGCTACTGCCAGTCCATTCTTTAAGCCTCCTGCTCAGCACCTCAATGGTTCTGCAGCTTTCAATGGTGTAGAAGAGAGCAGGCTGGCCTCGGGAGACAAGCACACAGAGGTTCCTGCAGGTACCTGCCCCGTGGATCCTTTTGAAGCCCAGTGGGCTGCATTAGAAAGTAAGTCCAAGCAGCGTACTAACCCCTCCCCCACCAACCCTTTCTCCAGTGACTTACAGAAGACATTTGAAATTGAACTTTAAGTGGTTCCTATGGCTTATGTATTTTGACCATACTTAGGCAAGGATGGGGGTGGAGGTCCAAGGAGCAAAGGGGATGTGTTCCTTATCAGTATGCTTTTTACTAATCCCAAAGGGCATATCCAGGCACAGAGTACAATGAGGGGAGATTTGGAAAATCAATCAGAGAAAACCATTCCTAGAGAAGAGTTATCTTACAGTTAGGCTAAAGAAGTCAAGGTATTGTTGCCCTCTGTCCCCTCCTCCTTCCTCAGCCCCTTACAAATCTCTGGCAACAGAGAGGCAGATGTATCTCAACAGGAACCTGTATTCAAAGCACATTTACTGGAACATAAAACAACGGGAAGCAAAATGATCTCCCTTGTCTTTCAGGCCAGTCACCTGCCTCCTCTTGGTACTGGCCTGTCATAGAGATCAAGGACAGGGGAGGCCTGTGCTTAGGCAGGAAGAGAGGCAGGCTTTGCTACCAGAATTCCCAGGAGGGCACAGCAGCAGCCGCCCAGCAGAGCTATATTTTAGGGGTAAATTTGAGCTTCCATTTTGAATAACAGAATAAATATTATAAATATATATAAAAAAGCCAAAATCTTTATTTTTATGCATTTAGAATATTTTAAATAGTTCTCAATATTAAAAAATTGTATGAGGTGTAAGTAATCTTGCCAAAGGTAAAAGGGTTAGGTGTAAGAAATTGTACATAAGATTGATTTATCATTGATGCCTATTGCGGTAAAAAGGGCAGGCTAGACGTTGCAGACAGGATCCCTAGCTTATTTGGTGTCGTCCATTGTAAGTAGCGCATTGCAACACAATCATGCTTATGACCAGTACAGTCACTAGGGTGTAGTTTAAATAAAGAAAATGAAAGAGCAGTATTGTCCTGGTTTTAAACCAATGAAATTCTAATATTTTAATGGAATCAAGCTAAATATGCTCTATAGAAAATATGTATTTCCTTTTATGTATTGCTACATTTTCCTTACGTTAATCCTTTAACACTAAGGTGACAATGACATAATCATAGACGGGAATGCAGGTTACTGTGTTGGTTTGTCATGTGGGTCTTGGTGAGTTTTGTTTTGTTCTTTGTTCCCACGCATTTAGTGGGAATGAAAATCCGGGTTTTACTAGCTGTGTGTGTCCCTGTCTGCCCTTCCTGTGTGCAGAGTGCCCCATTGCCAGTTGCTGCCACTTGACCTCTGGTAACGACATGAGATCCCATCTCATTTTTACTTTTGAACGTTGGCCTTACAATCAAATGTAAGTTATATATATTTGTACTGATGAGAATTTATAATCTGCTTTAACAAAAATAAATGTTCATGGTAGAAGCCTTTGCCCATGAGGGGCTGCTCTGTTCCCCTTTTCTTTATTAGCAAGTGAATACTTTTAGTTCTTGTTGGTTTTGGTGTCCATTTTGCTGCTACTGATCTCAGATAGTTCAGAGGCTAGAATATCTTTTATCGGGACTAGTATATTCTAAAATTAATATTTTGTTTATACTTTTAGGCTTCGGTTGATCCTGAGTACACCTCTAACATCAGACTCTTGCTACTTAAAGTGTGGTCTGGAACAGCAGCCTGGACTTGACTGACCAGGAGCTGATTAGAGATGCCAAATCTTGCCAAATCTGAGCCCCACCCCAGACCTAGTCAGAGCCTGCATTTGAACAAGATGCTTATGCTGAGAAGCCTGGACTGAAGCACTGATTAGATCCATATTAGAATTACCTGAGGAGCTTTTAAAATCATCATGCCTAGCCCACGCTTGAGCGCAAGTAAATCAAAATCTCTGGGGAGATTTCTCAGCTTTTAAAAAGTTCCCAGCATGGAAGAGGATTGAGAACCACTATTCTAGAGTGAATCCCACCTCTAACCTTCTTAGCTCACTCTTTTGTGACTAGTTCTAAGAAGAGTTCGCTAACCTCAACCTTACTTTCTGAGGTGGGTTGCCAACTGGCCAAATACTGAATTAATTTAAAATGTGGGGAGTCTTACTTTCTAATTTCTATAGCAAAACTCGCCATACTAAATGAAAGGGGATGTTCGTTGATTTTTTTTTTAATGAAAGAAAAAAACTCATTGGTGAGAAGCCGACCAAGCACTATCACTCACCCATGATGCAGTCGCTCTCTTTTCCAGCCAGTGTGTTGGTATTAAGTCACCTTTCAGAGCTTTAGCCCCTATAATGCCTGTCTTTCCTGTGTCCAAGAATAACCTTTGTTGCTAGGCCCTGTCAGTCCTCTGGAGGCTGCGTAAAGTTTGAAATGGAAAGGTGCTCAGAAGCTTGTGAAATCGCTATTACATTGCCCTCCTCCCCACTGGCACCCCAGTCCTACTGATGCTGTATTTAGTAAGTCTGGTTTTTATCTGGCAACAAACATTTTGCTTCACAGATTCCTACTTGAGGAGGAGAGGCTCCTCCATAGCCACTGTACAGAGCAGACCCATCAGCTCGATCCAGGGGTGATGACCCTGCGGCCAGGCTGCGTGTATCAGCCTCAGGAGAAGGGCTTCGGGCTTCCTGGTGAGAGTAAGGAGCTTTTCCGGTTCTTTTGTGCTCAGATAATAATGCAACTGCTGCTCTTTTATCCCCAACCCCTATACTGAGCCTTATCTTCCACTTTGCTGCATGCTTTCACAAACATGCTGTTATTAACCGTGAGCACAGGTGGGCAATGTTGCTGAACTGCCTACAAGGGTGAGAGACACCATGGCAATGGGCCCTGGTTTGATCCCAGATGACAAGATCTAGTTCTAGCAAGGATTGTTTCCCTGGCACAGCAGAAATGCCTGTTCCCTGGATGAGATAGATATTAACTTTGAACCCACTGCCTCCCCACCCTTACAGCTTGCTTTCAAACAGTGAACTGATCCTATGTAACAAAATCTATAGAGGGAATTGTAAAGGTTGTCCTTACTCTTGACAACTCAACAGTCCCCTGTGGCACCAACTCCGAGATACAGAGGGGCTGCTACTGGTTCTGCTGAGGTCAAACCCTTGGGAATGGGGAGAGCTGAAAGGGCCAGGGCCTCCAGAAGATGACTGCCTTCATCAGCCAGAGAAGAGAGGGCGAGAGTCCTCCGCCCCAGCCCTGAGCTGTTTGGGGGCTGAGGCCAGCTTTCATCCCTGCTGCCAGATGGGCTGAGCAGGAGGCTGGACGCGCGAACAGCTGGCGCAGCAGAAGCTGGAGTAATACTCATTGCCACAGAGCTGGGCCTGCAGGATCAAATCACAGTTGGCCAGCTCAGGCTGGTCAGTGCATTCCCTGCGGGGGTCCCTTGGCTGAGTGGCCAGTGCTGCAGAACAACAGGAGAGAGAAAGTGGTCAGGAAGCTGTGTGCATGCTGAGAAGCCTCACCTGCCATTTCTTCTCCTTAAAAGGAAAGCCATTCTGTAACCTTGTAACACCTGTGTGTGCGGCTTCACAGGCTGAGGTGACACTTTCTATTCTTTCATTGGCCTCCCTTCAGCACATAGTGGGCCTTCCGTTGTTCCTGGGTGCAGATTCCCAAATACAGGAAGTTAAATACCGCCCTTGCTATTGACCTGAAAGGCTGAGTGATAGGTGCCCGGTCCCTGGCTTGGAAAGAGGAGGGTCAGCCCTAAGGACAGCTTTGAGTTGGTAAGAGCGCCTGGCTCTTGCACTGCTGGTTTCCGCCAACTCCGAAGTGTTGTGCCTTTAACAGCCTTAGCTTAGCTTAATCACTCAGTTCCCCACCTTTTCACTCCCCCTGCCCCACCCCGGGAAGCAAGTTATATGCAACAAGGTGAGAGTAAAAAGTCTAGAGAACTGAGACTCCAGCACCGCACTGAGCACAGCCCATTGCCTCCACCTCTGACTTCACCAGGAGCTTCTGCAGCTTACAGCTCACTCTGAGGGTGTCCCCTACTGCTTCATGCCAGGCCTGACGTCGTCTTAGCTCAGTAACTTTTCTTTCTGGAAGGGATTCTGACAACTCAGCTTGGACTAGGCATTATTTCCTTCATCCTGGAGCAGCCCACTGTACAGATGAGGGAGGTGAGACTCAGGAAGTGCCCCACGTCACACTTCAGTAACTGGCAGAGCAAGTCAGGGTGACAGGCCTGCGCTTGCCCACACGGAGCCAGCCCTTCTTACCTGGCCGGATCATCTTCACCTCCGTGCTGCGGCTGATGGCCTGGCTCCCTCGGTAGGCACTGCATGTGTAGGAGCCCTCGTCCCTGGCCCGCAGGTTGTGGATCAGCAGCGTGCCATCCGGGGACTGGTGAACACGGTGGCCATCGGCCTGGACTGGCAGCCCATTCCTGGAGGGGAAGAGATGCAGCCACTGCCGACCCAAGACCAGAGACAGGGAGGAGGTAACAGACCACTCCAGGGCCAACTACTTCCTCCCTCTGGGCAAACAGGTGACCCTCACTCGTCTCAAGGAAGACACGGACAGGGTAACAAAAAGAACATAACGCACCTCCAATGAGGTGAACTCATACTGATCTGAGTTACTTCAAACGTACCTCTCACCCCCAAAGGGCCGGCCGCACTCTTACTTTTCAGTAACAAAGATCTTTTAAGCAACTAGGGGGTGCCAGTCCTTTTCCTGGGTGCAGGACATAAGCATTCCCTGCCTTCAGGGTACTGGGGTGCAAGTGTTCAGGGGAGTTACTCGTAAGGAGGAGGCGGCAGCAGGAGTTGGAAGGAAGGCCATGGCCTAAGCAAGGCACTGGGGTGGGGAGCTGAGGGCCCTTTATGGCCCTGGTCTGGAGTTTGAACTGGATCCTGAGGGTGATGGGGGGCATCAAGTGAGACTAACACTTAAGATAGCTGCCCAGGCAGGGTGCTCGGGGAGAATCCTGAAGGCAGAGACCAGGTAAGTGGCAGCTGCACATAGGTAGCTGACACAGGCAGTAAAGAAAGGGACTTGGGGCAGTGCAGTAGTTAAGGATGATGGAGCTTCTGGCTTGGGTTAGCGAGTAATGGGGGTGCCCCTTCCACATGGGCAGAGCCAGGCCAAGGATGAGGGGTGTGTGAGGTTCTTTCCCACCACCTTGCACTTCTGGCGCCTGAGAGACACCAACAAGTATCAGATGTAGGCCTGCCCAGGTGAACTTAGGGAGACAAAGCAAGGACAGACATTAAGCAAGAGCAGCATCTCAGGGGTAGATGAGAAGATGACGAGCCAGCCGGGAGGACAGAAGTAGCAGCTGCAGAAGCAGGAAGACCACCACAACAGTCGTTTTGGGAGGAGAGCATGGTCAGCAGAGGAATGCTGCAGGTAGTGTGGGCATGGAAATGTGTCCAGAGGATTTAGGAACAGGGAGGTAAATAGTTGGTGGCCTTGGAAGGGAGAGGATGTGAGGACCTACTGGGGCTGAGCCAGCAGCGAACAGGGGGAGACACCCAGTATAGACTGTGCAGTTAGAGGGAGACTGGCATGGGCCTGCAGGGGAGCACAGGGCCAGAAGAAGGTATGTTTTAACGAGGGAAGCCCTGAGCATGTTTGCTGCTGGGACGATCCAGACGCAAAGTAGAAGACCACCTGGTAGAATATCAGGGCTGACAGCCCGTTGAAAAGCCTCAGAGGCTCCCTGCAGCCTTCCCCTGGCACCAGAGCTGCACAGGCAGCAAGCTCTACTACCCTATCTTCCATCCCATCCTGGCAGCATCTCACAAATACACACTTTGGGGCTTGACCAAGGACATCCTTCCAGGCCCAGCCAAAGTCACCTCCTTGACCACCCTTTTCCTTGAGTCTCCCAGATGAGAGGCAGCCCCACTCCACTGTGAGGACAGCACTTTGGGCAAACTGTGGCTGGCACTCATGGGACACTACATCATCTCTTGCCTGGGAGTATCTTATGGGGTCAGATTACCCGAGGGTCCCCAGAGCCTAGTCCTGATACATGGCAAGAAGGAAGGGGGTAAAGAAACGGTTGCTGAAGGAACAAGTAAAAGACCACTCAACCTCTGGGGAGATTTTGCCACCCACGGGACAACTGGCAATGCTGAGCGTGGTAGTGGCATCAAATGAGCGAGTGTGGCTGAATATTCTATAGTACATAGGAGAGCCATCAAGAACTGAAGATTACTGGGTTCAAAATGTCAATAATGCTGACGTAAATCCCTGGTGTAGCCCAGCCAACAGAACAGAGCAGGCCTTGAAAGGGGTGTGGCAGTAGTGACAGAAGCATCCCCAGAAAGGTGGACCATCTCTGGGCTGCACAACCTCCATGGGAGGGTCTATAGGCCAGGGCCTCCAGGAATAGAGCCTTACCTGGACCATCTGACGTTCACACTTTGTCCTGCCACCGTACACAGCAGCCTGGCCGTGTCACCCTCTGGCACCGTCATGGTAGAGGGCAGCCCTGTGATGGTCAGCTCCCCTGGGGCCCAAGGAGAAGGCACTGTCAGCCATGGTGCCATTCCCACCCCACCTATGCCATCCGACCGCAAAGGCCCCGCTCACCCTTCCATTCCAGACTGCCATCTTACCCAGAACTCTGAGCTGGACCCATCGCTGGTCTCGGTCCTGCCCATTGAAAGCAACACAGGCATAGAAGCCACCATCTTCAGCAGCCACGTGGCTGATGACCAGAGAGCCATCAGGCTGCAGCTGGTGTCTGGGGACCAAGCAGAGTCTGTTGTCTCCATCCCAAGGCGGGCCACGGACAGTGAGGGGAGGAGCTGCTGAGAGGCTGTTCGCTGGGGTCTGCCTAAGGGCCACTCACCCAGGTCCCCAGCGGCTAGCATGTGCAGCTACTTGAAAGGCCTGGCTTTTAAGCCTGGCAATAAACACAAACCATTTCAAGTTTTCTGATGCAAAATTCTGGTTTGGGTTTCCAGTTTCATCTAGTGGGTTTGAATCCCGGCTCTGCCACTTAGGAGCTGAGCGGTGTGGAGCTGGTGTGTAAAATGGGGATAAACAGCCACTACCTCAGCATGGTGGTTCTGCAGACTGTGATGGAGAACACCCCCCGCCCCGACTCATGACCGTTTCTTCCCTCAGCCATCAACTCTGCTAGCTGGCCTAGTCTGTCCAGAGACCCAAGATGCCCTGCACCCAGCAGCTCCATCTCTCCAGAGCCCCTACTGTCCTGCTCAGGACAGACTGGAGGGCCGCCCTCTCCCTACAGCCGGCACAGGATGGGGCAGGAGGGAGGAAGCAGAACTAACCTGGGAGAAGAGAGCAGCTGCCCTTCTCTCTGCCACTCGATGGTCGGGGGCGGGAAGCCCTCAGCGCGGCAGGTCAGCCGGACCCGCTGTCCTGGGTGGGCATCCACCACGCCGGGCTGGTTCCGGTCCAGATGCAGCCTGAGAACCACAATTATGAGGGGATCCTTGCCACGGCCTTCCCACTCCCACCTGCTGGGGGACCAGGCCTCTGCACAAGCCTCATGGCCCCTCTCTCTTCCAGACAGATTTAGCTTCCTAAAATCACCTTGTTAGGACACCAATAGCTGCCTGGGGCAAAGTCAAAGCCAGCCCTGACCTCAGCTCCCTCCACCAAAATCTCCAACTGTCTCCTTCCTGTCCTGCCAGTAGGCCCGAGCCCTCTGCATGCTGGTCCTCTAGCCCCAGTGTGCTTCCCTTCACTCAGTTCCAATCCTGAGCCCATGCACCACTGCCTGCTCGGAGGTTCCTCAAAAGGTTGAGCTCAGAAAACCATGTGTTGCTAGTCCTCACTGCAGAACCCTAGCAAGGGTGAGCAAGCCTAGCCACAGCACACTGGCCAGGGAACCACCCACCTTCCTCCACCCACGGAGACCATCCTCCTTGGTCCTCAAGGGGGGCACTGAGGGCAGGATGGCACTGCCCCACTTACCTGGTCGTGGTCCTTAGGTGTGAGGCGACGGCCCCCAGGCCCTGAGCATCCCCTGCTAGGCCAGAGTCCCGAGGACTGTGGCCCTGGGCTGGGTCCCTAGTCTGAGGGAAGTGCCTAGGCTCAGCCGCAGACAGTATGGCCACATCACTCCCTGTCATGAGGCCAGAAGAAGCAAAGGATAAGCTGTGGGAAAGGGTGGGCCTGAGGCCAATGGGGGACAAGACATGCTCCCCACCCCAACTGGAACCCATGATCCCTGATAACAGGATGCCTTGGCCCAAGGAAGCACCCCAACCTTCCAAGGTGCGGGTGCCTAACCCAGGCCCTCCCAATCAACCCTTCCCATCCTAGGGCTCCCAGCGGCTGGGAACCAAGACCTGTGACATGAAGCTGGATCTTCCGAGAGTCATGGCCTGGTCTGGTGCTGCCACAGCTATAGATGCCTGCGTCCTCTGCCCACAGGGGGCTGATGACCAGGGAGCCATCAAGCTGCTGCCTGTGTCTGAAAGGCAGAGGGGGTGGAGTGAGGTAGTACAGAGGGATTGGGTTCTGGGCTCCTGAGAACAGCAGTGAGACCAGCCGCGCCTCCCCCCCACACCCGCCCCGCCACAGGGCAGACCCCAAAGGGACTGCAGCTGCACAGAGGCTCCTACACACCCGCCCTCCGTCCAGAAGCGCAGCGCAGCCACACCAACACACCTGTGAGATGAGATGTGCTGCCCATCTTTGAGCCACGTAGCACGAGAATCCAGGGTGGTGTCATCCGGGCAATAGAGCTGCACCTCCTGCCCCAGGGCCGCCTGCACCAGGGAGGGCCCTGAGCCTGCCAAGCTAATCCTGGAAGGAGGAGGTGAGGATCTGCCCTTCTGGCATAACCCTAGGCCCAGGGACCACCCTTCGCCAGCACGTCCCACCAGGTAGCTGGGTTCCCGTGCTGCTGCTGCCAGGTATGAGGCCAGAGAGTGCAAGAAGCAGCCAAGCTCCAGAAGCCCATGGACTCTGAAATCTGCCAGCCCCACCCCACCCCACCCCTCAGCCTGTTCCTACTATAGCAGCAGGGAGGTGCAGAGCCCAGGGGATGGGGAGAGAAGCGCCCACCAGGCTCATGGGGGGAACTTTAAAGTCCTCTTTGGAATTTAACGTCAAGAAACTGGGCCTTGAATGGACTGGTGGAGGGCTGTGGGCATTTGGTAAAGGGCATGGTGTGGTAATATCTGAAGAGGTGTGGCCCTGCACTCCTAGAACATACAGTGCTGTCAACGGACACTGCCTCAAAAAAAAAAGGAAAAGAAAATAGGTTCAGAGAAGTTGGGAGACTTGCCAAAAGTCACAAAGCCAGTAAGCTTTTCCCGCTATTCAGGCCCTGGGTTATGGTGGCATCTGATCCAGAATCCAGGCACCACCCTCTACAGCCACCTGGCCTTGGGCAAGTCTCAGGGCTTAGGTCTGAGCACCCCTATCTGCAGAATGAGGCCCTGCAGGCAGAGCTGGCTGGAGGAGTCAAGCGTCAGGATTGGGAGGGAGGACTGGCTGGTATTAGGGTTTTAGTTCCACCAGGCTCAACCCCCAGCATGGGTCCCTATTCACCAACCTGGGGAAGGTGGGCCTCACCTGTAGGAGGAGCTGTGGGAAGGTGGCACAGGCTGCCCAGCATCTCCGCCCAATCTGGAGGCACCGGGCTCCCAGCTCCAGGCCCCGGTGTGGTGGGTCTCCCCTGGTCCAGGCTGTTGGTCTCGCCAGACACCCCCAGAAGACAAGGGCTTTCTCTGGGCCATGAACTCAGTCCTCAGCCTGTTGGCCTCCTCATGACCTCCAGGGCTGCTGCCACCACCATCTCCGTGGATCCTCTGGCCAGCTGTGCCACGTGTGGGTTGGAGGGGCCTGTGTTGGGGCCCCTGGCAGCTGCTCATGCACTCCTCCTCGGAGGCAAAGTTATTGGCATTGCCATGGCAGCCGCCATACCAGAAGCGGTTACACTGACCCACGGAGGGGATGAAGTACCAGTGGGCAGCCCAGTCTGTGCAGGAGCCGTGGGCGCTGGGCAGCAGGCACCCCACAGGATACGCTGAGGGGGCAGAGAGGACACACGTCACCCAGTGGAAAAGCTGCAAGCACTGCACCCGCCATCCCCTTGGTCTCAGAATTAGGAGCGAGGCCTTTCCCAGTTGATGGAACATGTCTGCACCCCTGTCCTGGCCCTGGGGGCACAGGGTACTTCCACCAGAATCTGTGGCTGCAGCCACAGCAGCCTCCAGAGTTAACCTGTCCACCTCCATCCACAGAACGAGCGCCATCGAGAGGCCAGGGCCATGAGCCCCCTGGACTGGCTTCCTCTTGCTCCTCCCCATTCCTGTCCCAGCCCCTGAAGTGCACACTCAGCAACCTGAGTGTTCCATCTTGACAAGCCTGGCTCATGGGAACCCAGCCCTGAGTTCCCAGGGATGATGAAGATGCCCCCTGAGGGGCCTGCCCTTGTCCCTGGGGCCCTACACCATCTCTGAACCCACCCCCAGGCCCAGCATGCCTGCTGAAATGGCCACCCTCCCACGCCACCAGCTCTCTCCCCCCTCGCTCACGTGTGACCACAGTTGGCCGGCTTCCAGCTCCTCCAGGAGCCCAGTCTCCTGCAGCCCCTCTGATCTCCACATCCCAATGGCCCTGGCCACCCACCCACGCGCCCCACACTTCCTCCCGGACACATCCCAGGCAGGGTGGGGACACACTGCCCACCTGAACTGACCCCCCAACACCACCTCTGCCTCTGCAGGAGGCTGAGGCCATGGGGACAGGACAGGCCTCCTTTCTCAGGGATGCCTGCCTATAGGCCCCCATTCCCACTTCCACGAGCCCCTGGAGGCCCCAGGCACAAACCATTGGAAATGAGCACAGTGTCTTCTAGAAAGTGATCACTAACCATGGAAGAAAAGAATAACAGCCAATAGGAAGGTTTTTAGCCGGGGTGGGGAGGGGCAGGGAAGGGAAAATAGTGGGACCAGAGTCCAGTCAAAGGAGGACAGGCAGGGGCCTCCACTCACCGTAGCCAGGCTGGCCCGCACAGCCTTCCCCGAGAGGGCCAGCCGCAGGGGCCACGCCGTCATAGCAACAGCCGAACTGGGAGCCCCGGCACTCCCTGGACTCATTCTCCTGGGCCTGGGCCTGGGCCTGGCGGCCCTCATGGGCCTGGGGAGGAAGCCCAGGGTTAGAGGGTTGGGCAGTTGGGAACAGGTGTGGCTCTGCTAGGGGAATTGGGCTGCCGGGGGGACAATGGCAGGAAGAGGAAAGGACAGAATTCTTGGCCCCCTGCCTATTCCCAGCCCAGCCTAGCCCAGCCCAGGCTTCAGAGACTGCCCTTCTCCGAGGCCAAAGCCACACAGAGTCCAGGTCACAGTGGCATTGAGCAGGCTCGGAGACTGGACCCCTCAGGCGAACCAGACACTTACTGTGGAAGCCACGGCTCTTGACCCCAGCCTCCTCCCAGCGCTCTCACTGCAGCCGGCCTGATGGGGCCCCTCAGCGGCAGACACCCCGTCAGGGCAGCACCCATACCTAGACAGAGAGGACACGGCCTGGCCCTCATGGCCCGAACACCATCCCCTTCCTCCTGGGGACCCCGAGTTCCCGGCAACCCAGGACCTGGCTCTCTGGCTCCCTGTGCAGAGGCCGCACCATTTTGCACACCCCAGTCTCTGCCCAAGTCCTGCCCCTTAGTGGCTACAAGAGAGGGCAACAGTAATGCACTAATTGTACCCCTCATGATGGACAGACCCTCAACTCACACCCCTGTCACAAAACTGAGGAGGGGACATCATCTGAGCCTGTCCAAGTATCAGGTTTCAGGGTGTCTTTACAAAATGGCAGAGAACGGTGTGAAAGGGGCCCACCACTTACTCCACCCCCAAACAGGAGCTGGGAAGGTGAAAGCAGACGGTGTCAGAACACCTGTGTGCACCAGGCACCGTAGCGTGCTGCCTCCGCACAGTCCCGGCCGCCAGCCAGCGGCTGCCGCTGCTCCCGATGCTCAGTGACTTGCCGCAGGCACCCAACGCGCAGCTGGGAGTGGCTGGGCTCAGCCCCAGGTGGCTCCCCCCAGGCCTGGGGCCCTTAGCACTCTAGCTCCTGCGGGAACAGGCACCTGCCAGGGAGGACCTGGGGGAGCCCCTCTCCCCAAGGCTGGAGCAGGTGACTGTTAAGAACCGGACAGTTGGGAAGTCTTTGTCCGGCCTTTCCCCGGGGCTCCCCGCCTCGCTGAGAGCTGCAGGATGGAACCACATCCCGGTGCCTTCCGGAGCCGCAGGCTGCACCTTACAGGCCGGCTTGTGAAGAGAAAGGGGGGATTTTTATCCCCACTCAGCACTTCAGAAGTCCAGAGAGGGGGAGGTGGGTCCGAAGACTGCACAGCCAGGCAGCTGGGGTGCACCCCCTGGGGGCCCTTCCCGAGCTCTGCCAGCTCACCGGCCCATGACCGCCACCAGCACCTCGTGCTCGGCCCAGAAGCAGCTTGGGCACCTACCTGCTCTGATGACACCGCGCCCCGGGGCAGCCCTGCCACTGCGGCCCGAGAGAGGCAGTGCGGCCATCAGGACAGCACCCGTGGGGGCTGTGTCTGCAGTCGCGGGCCCCCGAGCCAGACCACAGGGGCTGCTGGCGCAGGGACTGTTGCAGTGAGGGGCCTGGGACACGGGCTTGCAAGTGGGGCCCCTGCTCTTCTCTGCGGTTACCCAAGGCTGAGGGTTGCTCTTGGGGTGCTCCCTGCTGGTCTCCAGAATCTAGAAAGAAAGCAAAAGACTCATGGATGTGTCCACCTGCTTCTCCAGCCTCCATCTGTGTCAGCATCACACCCGCCTCTCTCCATCTGCCCCCCCAGCCCCTCAACCTCAGCCTCCATCTCCACGGACCATCCACTTGGACACGGATGAAAGGGCTCTGGGCTGGGGGCTTCAGCTGAATGTCTCACCTGAGGCCACGGCCTCCTGAGGGCCCAAAGGCATCCAGGGGTCGCTGGAGCTGGTATGCACGCTGGGGACATCTGCAGGGAGCAAGGGCGATGGAGTGGATGCAGAGGGCAGGAGGAGAGGCGGGGAATCGCCCAAGCAGGGGCCTGACTAGTACTTGCTCCCACCCTACTGCTCAGCAGGGCCCGGGGGGGCCCAGGGCAGCAGAAATGAAATGAAGCAGACCTGTGACCTCCAAAACACCCTCGCCGTGTTTCAATGAAGGGCCTAACCGCAGAGAAAAAGCCAATGTTATCCGTTCAGCTAAAAGAAAAGCCAGATGTAAAATTAGCATCTAGTTTTGACCCCAACTTCATAAAACAAAAAATGCTATACATTTTTAAAAATTGATTTGATGCAAAGATAAACAATCCAACATAAAAATGGGCAAAGAACTTGGCTATTTCTCCAAAGACAATCAAACGGCCAACAAGCACACGAAGAGATGCCCCCCGTGGCTGCGCGCTCAGGAAGTGCAACTCTACGCGGCTGTGAAAGGCCGCCCTGCGCCCTGCACCGACCAGGACCCTCGCCTCAGGCAAATCCCGTGAGCAGCACCGGAGAGGAGGTGGCAAAGCCGGCTTGTGCACCGTGGGTGGGGAAGTAAGATGCCGCGGCCACTGTGGAGAGCTTGTTAGTGCCTCTAAAAATCAAAAGTAGAATTACCTATGCCCGGCAACTCCACCCCTGGGTGTGTCTCCAGGAGAAATGAAAACACAGCCACAAAGGAACTCGGGCCACAGAGGAAACTGGACGTGGCTGTTGGCAGTGGCATTGCTCGTTAGAGCCAAAAGACAGGGGCCAAGGGGCCATCCACAGCTGGGTAAACAAATGTGGCCCATCCACAGAGGAACGCACCCGGAATGAAGCATGGATGCTGCAGAGAACATTCTGCAAGTGAAGGGAGCCAGGCAGCCAAGCCTCGGGCTCCTTTTATCTGGCGTGTCCAGAGCAGGCAGCTCAGACAGAAAGCAGGTCAGAGGGGTCCAGGCAGAGCAGGTAGGGCTAAGGGGGTGATGACTTAGTGCACTTTGCTGGGAGAAAACATGTTGAAACTTTCACAGAGGGAAGCTGGCGACTGCGCAATGCGTGGATACACTAAATGATACCACACGACAGCCACTGGTCAGTGGTTACGTGCGCGTGGTGTGAATTTTACCAATTGAGGGGCCTCCCTGGTGGCGCAAGGGGTTAAAAAGCAACCTAGGAAGCTGTCTGCAGCCTCTGCAGCACGAGTTCAATCCCCAGGCAGGGAGCTACCCGCATGGTGCAGCAGACCTCTCCTGACTCGCCTGTTTCTCCCCTCAGCAGTGTATTTCAGTGGATCTGCCTGCTCTGCTCCCCACTCTCTTTGGTGAATCCTCTTGCCCCGCTCCCCGCCACACCTCCGGCCTATACCCCAGTTCTTGTATGCATAAAGCTTTTTTTAAAAAAGGCAATTGAGATATGAAGGAATAGAAAGAAGATAGACAATGAAAAGACAAATATAACAAAGTATTAGTTGTAGAATTTAGGTGGTGGGTTACACAGTGCACAATCCACAGTTCTTCAGCTTTTCTGGGTGTTTATTTTCATTGCCTTGTCCAACTTGGTAAATTTATTAAAAACTGTACCATTAAAATGGGTGATTTTAATGGTATATGATATTTAACCATCCCAATAAAATTAGTAAAAGTATTTTTCATCATAAAATGTTGGACAAAAATATAAAAGGCTAAGGAGAGAAAATTAGGAAGATAGGAAAAAATTTAATGATGCATAAAATAGATGATTTGCAGTCACACCCTAAAGTATTCATACGGAAAGTTTCCGAATGCTTTGGGGGAAGGGAGGTTCATTCCTTTTGTGGTTTTCAGTTTCCACAATGAGCATATTACTGCTGTAAAAAATAAGTGAAAATTCCAATCCCACATGAACTATATCCTACCAGTCCCCCCGGGAATATTAAAAAATAATTCTGAGTTGGAAGACTCCAGGAGATACGTGGTAAAATCTTTCCCATTTTAATGCCTATCCCACCCAGGCCGGTTCAAATTATTCAAATTCTCTCCCCAGCTCTGCACCCCCCCCCCAGGCTCCGGGCCCTGTGTTCACAGGCCCCAGCCCCCTGGAGTCTCGCCTGCTGTCCCCCTGTCTCAGCCTGAAACGCACCTTTCTGCTCCCCGCTCCTACCACTGGCTCCCCCTCCTGGGATGCGCCTCTCCCATCTTTCCAGGCGGAACCCAGAGTTCCCTCCCTGCCCACCTTGAGGGCAGTGCTGGGCCCTCGCCTGTGTCCTTATTTCAGCTGCTCTGCTTAGCACGGGTCTCTGAGCCCGCTGACCGCCAGGCGCCTGCCCTCCTGTGTCTGCTTCACCTACCTTCAGGCCGGTGACTAGTTTGTCCTCCTGGTGCCTCTTTCTAGCCCCTAAATTGTCCGTGGTCCCTGGGCCTGTTATGTAAATTGAATTGGGAATCCGACGCCTGAGGCCTCCAGCACAGCCCCGAGGTCACCACCTCCTGGACAGACCTGCACCCACATGCTGCGCTGAGGCAGGCTCGGCGCCCCCTGCTGGTCTCAGAGCGACTGAGCACTAGGAATGCAGCCAGAGCGACCGAGTAATTATAAATTTCATTGAATTAGAATTTAATTTTGAGAGGTTCAGGGAGCTGGACTCAGCAGCCAGAGGACCCTCTTGCTCATGCACCCTGAAGTCCCAAGGCCAGGCTGAGGCGCCCTAGAAGCCTCATCCAAGGACCCCCAACAACCTCACCATTACCGACCCTTTGCTTACTGAGCACTGTGCCTTCAGGCACTCACAAGCCTGGAAGGTCACTCTGATCAGCACCTTGTACAGAGGAGCACAGCAAGGATCAGAGAGAGGGGAGAGGCACTTGCCCAGGGGCCTGTGCTTGGTGAGCAGCGGAGTGGTGGTTTGAGCTGAGTCAGCTGCTGACTCCAGGTCACTGGCTCTTAGACACCCACCATGCACTTCCCCCGGAACCCTCCCAGCCCGCATCACAGGGCCCCACTGGTGGCATGTCAGGGCCAAACACACGAGACGTGTAGGAGCAGATCACAGCCCCACTCACCCCCCAGCTCAACCCCTTCCTCAGCGTCACATCTTCACACCAAGCAAGGGGGGGCTGCCCCTCCTCCTGTGGGCCTCCGGGCCTGGGACACCTTCCCCAGTGCAGATGGGGTTAGGGGGCAGGGAGAAGATAGAGGCAGCAGCAGTGTGGGAGGAGAATCTTTCCTGGACCACCTCACTCCCCTGCACTCAGTCATTCAGCAAACATTTACTGAGCGCCTGCCACCTGCTGGCTGACGTCTGCGGAGGGCTATGAGGGGAAATAAGGGAGCCAGGGACTCCGGGGGCTCATAACAGGCCATATGTAACCCGTGCAGCAACCGAGAGCAGGGGCAGTTACAGAGAGCCCTGGGGTGGGGGAAAGATGCTATTCTGCTGGGAGAAACAGGGCTGGCCCATGAGGTTGCAGAGCTGGACGTAATGGGCGGCGAGGACCTCAGCAGCCGGAGGAGCAGAAGAGCATTCCAGCCGGCTGACCAGCAGGGCAAAGGCTCAGAGGCAGGGAGCGCTGGTTGGGGTGCGGTGGGAAAGGTCACGTCAGCCTCCCCCCCCCCGCCCCTCCTGTCCTACCTGGGGGCAGGTGGCAGGGCTGCGTGTTACAGGGCTCCACGTCCACAGGCTTCGACAGCAGCAGGCTCCGGCAGCGGCCTGGCCCGACAGCACAGACCACCTGGCGCCGCCGCGTGCCCGAGCTGCAGCTCTTGGAGCACTGGGGCCGGAGGGAGCAGGAAAAGAGAGAGGCCCTGAGGCTGGGGGTGGGGTGGGGGTACCCACAAGGAAGGAGGAAGGTGCCTGGACATGCATGTTGGACCTGGGGACGCCTGTAGGAACCAGGATTGGGCAGGCGGATTGGGGCTGGGGGTTAGTACTCACTAGACCCCAGGCGCCTACGTGCCAGGCCTGGTCGCTGAGAGGGGGGCAGTCGCTACGCACACAGGACTCGGCGAGGGGGGGCTGATCCTCTGAGGCGCAGGCTGTGGCAAGGAGCAGAGACTCCCCATCACCTCGGCAAGTGACTCGCCGCCTCCGGACCCCGGTACCACAGCTGACAGAGCACTGCAAGAACCGGGGAGTCAACAGGAGCTTCCCCCCACCCAGAGGAGCCCTGCCTGTCAGGCAGCTATAGACCCGCTGGCCTGGCACAGAGAACAGACAACACCTACTCAGGCCACCCTCCCAGGCCCAGAGAGCCTGAGTCACTCCCCTGAAGTCACACGGCCTGAACCACGGCCGCTGACACCAGGCTGAGGGGTGTTTTCCACACTCCTTTGCAACTTGAACATGTGTGGATGCTAGGACCAGTCACTAGCAGCCCCAGACAGTGCCTGTCCCTCCCTGGCCCCCAAACAACATGCCAGCTGCTTCTTCATGCCAAAGCACAAGCTTTCCTGTCCTGCCTGGGAGTGCAGGAATCCACACACCTGCTCCTCAGCCCAGCCTTGGCCACGGCTTCCAAGAGGACCTGGCTGATCACTGTGTCTCCCAGGACAAGCCTCCCAGCCCTGCCCTGCGGCTGCCCCAGGCCCAGCTCCTGGTGTCCTACCTGCACCCACCCAGCCTGGTGCTGCAGGGTCTCACCTCTCCCCAGGGCTCTGCGCTCCAGGCCGCACAGCGCTGCAGGTTGCAAACCTGCGTGGTAGGGGGCTTCCTGGGCAGGCCCGCACACTCGGCCTCTTCAGCAGCCTCCAGGACACCAGCCCCATCGGAGGAGACGCAGTAGACAGAGCGGGACTGGGAGCCGCCGCCACAAGAGGCTGAGCAGGGCGCCCAGGGGCCCGTCTTCCAGCTGTCAGGGAGCAGGACTTCAGTTAGCCGGGCCAGGCCAGAAAGGGCACCAGCACCCCACACAGGAGAGAACTAGACTGGGGACACCCCCACCGACCCAGCCCACCCGCTGAACATCCGGGCCTGAGCTGGTGGGAGTCAGAGAGTGATAAGCAAAGACCTGGCCCCGGGCGGGCAGGCTTGCCACGTCTCCTCTGTGCTGGCTCTGAGCTGCCTCCTGCTCAGCTTTCCCGTCCTCTGCATCTGCCCTTCTCCTTCTCAGGAGGCCCCCGTCACCCCCATTCCCTCTCGGTCTGACCTTTGACAGGGACACAGCTATAGAAGGGGTCTTGCTCCCCAACATGTGGAGTGGCCCTGCCAGGCCCCGGGGCATAAGGACACAGAGGAAAGGGCAGCTCCATCCTGAGGGGCCAGCTGGCACCAAGGCCACATGGGAAAAAGGACTAAACCAGCCCAGGACTAAACCTGCAGCCTGCAGATTACCTGTACGTACATATGTACACACGTATGTGTACACACACACACACGCACGCACAAGCGGGCCCTAGCCAGGTGCCAAGCTCCAGGCTGGCGCAGTAAGAGGTGCTTTGTGCGTGAGCAAAGGCACAGCAGAGGCCCACAGGCCTTTGGCCTAATCCCTGGCCCACTTGCGGACATCACTAAGCCCCATTGGCTCAGACAGGAGGTGGCTCCACAATCTTCCGCAACCCTCGTGCACCAGCCTGGATATTCTGGGTACTGCATGGACACACAAGGTGAGCAGAACAGCCCTGGGGCTCAAGCACAGGCTCCTCCACCGCCTGCCCCAGAGACTGCGGCCTCCTCCCCCCTCAGGCAACAGCTGGGCCACCCAAGCTCTTTGTCCTACCCCCAAAGCAGCCTAGAGACCCCAGCACCCTGGCAGGAGGTAGGGCCTCACCGCTTGGTCTGTGGGCAAGGGTGAGGGTTGCAGGGGCGGTGGTTGGCGGGCCGAGGCTGGTGCTGGCACATGTGGTCTGGGTAGGCCTCGCTGTCCATGGTGCAGAACACATGGCGGGTCTGGTAACCTGCAGAGGCCCCGCCCCAGAGGGTAGCCCCAGTTAACTCTCAAGCCAGACACCATCTGGACAGCTCCCCAGTGTCATCAAATGACCCTCCAGGGTAGGTGCCATCAAATGCCTGATTTACAGACGAGGAAACTGCAGCTCAGAGGGTTTATCCACGAGTGAAGGAGGCCCCAACACCTGCTCATCCTCCTGGCCTCTGCTGCCAGTGGGAGCCATGTCCTTTAAGATGCCACCACCCCTGTGGAGCCCTCTTTGGTTCTTTTAGCTTAGTGGGGGCCCTTCATGGAAGTCCCGGAAGCCTGGGTTTTCCCCAAGGTGACCCCAATGGCACGTAGCTATCGTCTGGACTTGCCCACTGCCCTGAAGGGCCGGAGCCTCCTGAGGAGCGGGCTCAGCCCCGCACGCAGCCCTCACCTCCACCACACTCGGTGCTGCAGTCGCTCCAGGAGCCGTGGCTCCAGTTGAAGCTGGATCGGGGGGCGCCCAGGGGCAGGTGGTACTTGTAGTGCACGCCGGGGTTGGGGTCCTGGCTGATGAGCTGCACAGGAAGGTCCTCCTTGAGGTTCCCCCAGCCCCAGCCCTCCTGCCAGCCTCAGGCCAGAGGCCCTTTGGGGACCAGGGCTCACCTCGATGACCAGGGGCTCGGAGGTGGGGCCTCGGGCATGGAGCCGCTCGGGCGCCAGGTCACCCTCAGCTCCCCGCTCGTAGTGCAGGATGGTGCTGGCCACGGGCAGGGCCTGGGCAGCCTCGATGGTCCAGTGCCCATTGAGGTAGTAGTCGCCCCGGACGCTCTTCACGGCTGTGCAGGGCAGCCCCCATCAGCGGGGCCCAAACCACTCCCTTCCTCCCACCCCCAAACTCGACTGGACCCCAAGCCAGCTCTCACCTAGGAAATTCCTGCTGGCAGCTGCCTCCTCGATGTGGATGCTGGTGGCTCCCACTGGAACGATGAGCATCTGGTTGTAGCCTGAGGGGCAGAGATATTCTGGGACCACCCAAGCCACAGAGTTGCCCCCAAGGCCACTAAGTGCCAGACAGCACAGATGGGCGGGAGAGGACCAGGGGGACGCAGGCCAGGCTGCCTGGTAGCTCCTGGAGGAGGAGAGCTTCACAAAGGCCAGAGGGGCAGCATTCTTGGGTGCCCAGAGCTGGCTGGAGGGGCCACGGGAGAGGGGTGAGGAGGGGTGCAGATAAGGCACTGAGAGATTGGACTGGGTCAGCAGGCACGGGTCCTGGCCAGGTGGACACAGAGGGCTCTACCCTCGAGGGCATGACCCCCAGCCCTTAGGCCTGATCTGAGTGAGATCTGATCCTTTGGGTGCTGTGAGGGTGACCTGAGCCACAGCCAGAGTGGGAGGCGGGTGAGGAAGGGGCAGGCAACTGTCTCATCTGTCTTTGGACCCCACCTCTGTGGAGGTCATTGGCATCAAAGGTGCCCGTGATGGGGTAGCAGGCTGTGCCGTCGCCCCCACACCGCAGACACACGTCCTCCTGCACTGATGAGTCCAGGCGGTGGTCACAGCCGACCAGCTGCAGGCAGAGGTGAGGGAGAGAGACAGGGGGTCACTCCAGGGGGCCCGCAGCGCGGGGAGGATCAGTGATTCATGCTTGGTGGGGGCAGGGTAAACTGGGGATGTCTCTGGGGGCTGATAACCACCTCCTTTGTCCTCTCAGCACACACGGCCTCTTCTCTGGCAACCCCATCTTATCTCCTTTGGGGGTCACCTCTCCCACAGAATTTGGGTAGAGCACCCCACACAGTAGGTCTGGGGAATCAGTGGGTTGGTTATACCCACTGAAGAGTGTCTCAGGGGAGCCCCAAGCCCGGACACAACAGAGGCAAGCCCAGCTTGCTGGGGCTCCCGGGAATGGGGTGCCCTGGAGACACCTTCACAGCCAGGAAGACCCTGCCTGGGCCTAGGGCCCCCATGGGGTGAAGCCCGGGGGAGACGCTTCCAGCAGCACCAATAAGGCAACTGGCCCAGCCCACCCTCAAGGCCTTCCCTTTTCCCCTGGAGTCAGGTTGGATGGGCTTCTGTAACCCGCCACCCAGAGGGCTGTTCTTTAAAGGTAAGAGCGTCACGGGCCTCTTGCAGCAAGAAGTGTTGTCCTAGGAGCTTTAGGGGACATGGAGCTCCAGCGTCACCTGGCCCCCCAGTGCTGTGCGGAGAGCCGGGCTCAGCTGTGTGTGGGGCGGGGGACACTCACCCGGCAGTGACCGTCCACACAGACATCCCGCTTGCCAGGCTCACAGGGCGTCCCGTCGACCACGGCCTCCCTGTGCTTGTAGTAGAAGCTCTCCCCCTTGGGGATGCAGTTCAGTTCACACTTGTTCGGGGCTGGGGCAGGCAAGAGGGGAGAGGTGAGACCCCTGAGCAGGCCAAGGGCTACCCTAGCAACCACGGTGAGCAGGGCTGGAAGCACACCCCGGGCTGGGGAGAAGGCCCCGCGCTGCTCTGGTGCCCAGAGTCCCACCCCCATTCCAGGGAGGACCTTCCTCTTGAAACTGCTGCATCTCTAAGGATCAGAAGAAAATTCTCAGGAGGAAAAACCTGCACGCTTGAAGAGGTCACTCTCAGCGTGACTTGTAATAGCCCGTGTTAACAGTTGGCGACTCTTTAGGTAAAACACTATGCAGCGATAGGTGGTGTATGTTGATGTGTTGTTTAAAATTATGACGATGGAGATGATCCAGAATGTGGGGAGTTTCCTAGCACAGGATGCAGAGTGGTACTAGGTAGTAGTTACAGAGATGCAGCGTGTATAGAGGAAGGAAGGAATGAATGAATGAAATGCTAGCAGTGATTTTATGAAAGAGGTAACAGTCATTTTTTCTGGTTCAGAATTTTACATTTTTGGGGCCTCCCTGGTGGCATAAGGGATTAAGATGCAACTTATGAAGCTATTCACAGCCTCTGCATCATGAGTTCGATCCCCGGCCAGGGAGGTACCCACATGGCACAGTAGACCTTGCCTGACTCGCCCGCTGCTCCCCTCAGCAGTGTATTTCAGTCAACCTGCCTGTTCTGCTCCCCACTCTGTCTCTGGTGAATCCTCTCACCGCCCGCACCTCTGGCCTGTACCCCGGTTCTTGTATGCATAAATATTTTTTTAAAAAGAATTTTTCATTTATCCTGATATTACATATATACACCATTTAAACAGCCCTGAGTACTAACAGGATTGCAACCATCTCTCCCATCCTTTTCAACCTTCCTCTGAATTCCAGTTTTTCCATAACAAGGACATAGTTAAATAACATGGGCTCATCAGGATGCCAGAGTAATGAATTCCAAAAGGCCCCCCGTGGAGCCAGACATCCCCCCAAGCCCATGGCAGGCCCTGAATGGAAACATTCACAGAGTTGGAACCCACAGTGCGATGCTTTCCAGCAGCCCCTGCAACAAGCATTGAGCACTAATGCTCAGTGATCACCCGGGGGCACCTTCTCACTCACCTAAATACACCTTGTTTTCTTGAACTGTGCTGCTCTGAAGAGTAACAACCTACACCACCCTCAGAATTACCCAGAGGCCCTTCCCGCCACCCCGGTGGCCGGAGTAAATTGGGTCTTGCTTCACAAGGCCCTTCTAGCCCGGTCTTGAGTTTGTCCAGACTCAGGCACCAACCCTGCCATCATGCCCGCCCCAAGAAGGCCCAGGGGAGCAGGCCAACCATGCAGGCCTGGGCATGGCACAGACAAGCCACGGCCCCCTGCAATGACTACAGTGGAAGGACCCCAGGACGACCATCACGCTTGCATTCCATGAGCGTGTGTCCTGGCAAAGCACCCACGACACGGCAATAAGAATTGCAGGATGAAAAGTCATGTATAAAAAAGATCCCAAATTGGGGACTGCTACAGCAAAACACAGGGTGGGGCAGCCGTGCCCCAGCTCCTCACCCCCCATAGCTCACCCCCATAGTAGGGCAGCCATGTGTAGCGCCTCCCCTGGAACTCCAGGCTGTTGAACTCCGCACACTGCTCCGCCCGGAAGTCTCGGGCACGAGAGGGGCAACTCTGTGGGGGCAAATGGGGCAAGGGCTGGGGTTATGGGTCATCGGTGGGGTCCACCTGCCCTGGACCCCTCATATCCCTTTCACTCCCTGTGGCCCAGATCTGGGAGGCAGAGTCAGCCCCTGGGGTGGGAGGGGTCTATGTGCTCCTCTACAGGTGCCAGTGGCTTTGGACTAGGGAAAAACTGGGGGGAGGGAGTGGCAAGGTGGCTATGGGATGAGAAGGGGCTCCCCTGGGCAGCCCTGGCTGTGGACCTGCAATGGGACCCACAATCCAGGTTAACCAGGGAATGGGTGCCAGGGGCTGGAGCCGGGTGAGGGTGCCCCAGGGCTGGTATTAAATGGGTAGAGGATCCTGGCCCCTGCACCACCCCCACTGCCAGGGGCTTTACCTCCATGTGGCAAGTGCGGTGGCTTCGGGTAGGACCCAAGCAGCTGGAGCCCCCACTTCTCCTGTGGGAGGACAGCATAGGGAGACCCAAACCCACACCAGTCGACATCCCCACCACCTCCTGGGGCTCTCCTGCAGGCCCCCCAGCTTCTACGGGGATCCTCTGGGCCAGAGGGAGCAGCCAGGTTGAGAGGGGGCAAGGCAGTGCCCACACACACAGAAATCCCCTCATGGTGTGATGAGCTCGCCTTGTACTTGGGAGAAGCCAAGCTCTAAGGTCTAATTATCCACCAGTTTAACTGCTTCTAAAAGCAAATTTCCAGAGAAGACCCAAATTCGCCCTTGGAGAGACAATAAAATGTAATAAATACCCTCCTGGGACGGTTATTCTACCAGTTAGGGAGCAAATGAGCAAAGGCACTTTAGAATCTCATCTCTTCACCCAAGTTCTCAGGCTCAGGGAGCTGAACCCATGGTGGGTCAAGGTGTCACTGCCCCTTTTTCAGTGCCCGTCCCTCTAGGGCACCTCTCGGGATGGGGCACATAGTAGGTGCTCAATAAGTCTCTTGCAGTAGAAAACATATGTACTTGACAAGCAGGCTACTTAAGGTGGCGAGAACACACAGGTAGGAATTGTTGGTGATCATTCATTCATTCAACACGAACACGCGGCATCTGCCTCACCGGGCGCTGTGTTCAGAGCTAGAGACTCAGGGTGGGGGAGCAGCCCAGCTCCACTCTCCCGAGACACTGCTCAGAACCGTGCAGGCAGGTGGGAAATGCCTTCCTTTCAAACACTCCCAAAGGCTGCCCCCAGGATGAGTCTACTGCCTGGTGGGTTCTGCCCAGGTGGTCTGGCGCAGGCCCCTGACACCCAGCCCAGGACTCAGACTCCCTGGGGCTTGGCCCACCCTCACCTCCCCTACCTGTGGGAGTAGCAGGGGCGCTCCCGGAAGCTGATGCCCCCTCCGCAGGTCCGGCTGCAGGGACTCCAGCTGCCCCAGGGCCCCCAGCTCTCACTCTGCCTCCTCACCTTCAGAGCCTGCAGGAGAAGACCGCTCAGGAGTCAGTACTTGAGCCCCCATGGGGGCACTGAGAAGCTCATCCCAGGGCTCCCCTAAGAAACACTCCCCCACCTGGTCAGGGAGCCTGTGCTTCTGGCTCCTAGAGCCAGCCTTTCAACACTGCCAGGTACCCCAAACATCTTCATCTACAGAAGTTGGCAGTTTTCACCTAAGAAGCTGAGAGCCAGGCCTGGAGGGTGGAAGGGGTAAGGCAGCTGGGAAAAGTGCAGTCCCAGGGGCCACCTGGGAGGTGCCCTACAGCCAGGGGCAGTACGAGGACCCAGACATTTTTGGGTCAACACTGATGTAGAAGCCCTAAAGAAACACAGGACAGAGACTCACAGACAGCGGAGTGGGGCTCATTCACCCCACCACATCAGCTGTGGCTGCCTCCTTTGTCAGCGAAGCCACACCAGCTGCCTGGCAGGGCGGGGAAACCGCAGGACTGGGGGCAAAGGATTTTTCTCCTGACGATGACATCCCCCAACACCTGCCCTGCCTGTGTGGCCTGTGTGCCCCTGCTTCTGCCCTAGGTTGTAACCTCACGTCCAGAAGTTTCTGTAGTTCTGGCCTATTACATTAGGAGCTTATTCTAATCCTCTGCATGAGCACGTATTTGGGAGGGGAGCCGACAATCTGGCAGAAGGTCTGTAGCGGAGATGCCCATGAGTCTCCCCTAGTATCCCTGCTTCCATTGTGCAAGAACCCTTGACTCTTACTTAGCTGGTTACCTGATTGCCCCTCAAATAAATTCATTTCTCAGACTTCCTACAGTTGTGACTAAGTTCTTGTCAGTGAGATATAAATAAAAGTATTGGGCAGCAGCCTCCAGTGATCTCCTGAAGAGAGAGCTTGCTTGGGCATTAGTCCTTTTTCTTCTTCCTCCTGTACTCCTCCTGCTGTCTGGAAAGCAGATGCAATGGCTGGAGTTGGAGCAGCCTCTTAGACCATGAGGTAACTTGAAGACAATCTAGCTCCGACAATGTAGCAAAGACAGAAGGATCCCAGAGCCCGGAGTACTTTGTGAGATCAAACTCCCCTGCCTTCCGGCCTTTGGCAATTTATAGGGAGATGGATCAAGCCTCTTGTTGAAGGACAGTGATTTGGGACTCTAATATTAATATAATCCTAATACATAAAATTTCCCCCCAGAAGATAGGATACTCCGCAGCTGGCATTAGAAGGCCACAGACTTCACATGTGTTCTCCCTCAGAACAACCTGAGAGACCCTGGTGCATGGATAAGACAAGTTGGGGCCCAGAGAAAGGGAAGCCATGTAGAAAGGAGTGGCCTTCGACTGGGCTATTTTCCCACCTAAGACATGAGATGAGCACTGAGAGTTGGACAGATGTGAGGCTCGACATCATGGTTTTGCTGGGGGGCAGAAGACCTATGTCCTGTTTGCTGGAAGGGACTTTCTTTTAGGCATCATCCTACAAGAATCTCTTTCCAGAGAAAGCAAAGGCCTAATGTGGAAAAGTAAGCTCTTCCTCCCGCCATAAACCACCACGACCGCACAGGCTCTCAGGCCAGGGTAGAGGCTCACAGGCCGCGGAAGATCACAGCCCTTACCAGCTCCTCTGGAGCAAACACAGTTATCCCTGTCTTATCACAGAGCCAGGCCCTGAATCAGAACAAATCATGCTACATTTGCTGAACCACAAACCAAACCACCAAGGAAGCGCAGCCGGACCAAAGGTCTTAGCTTTCACTCTTCAAATCTTCTATCCTTCAGTTCTTACTCAGTAAAATCTCCAAGCTTTCAAAAACCAGTGAACCAGACTATCAAAGTCTCTCAGCACAATTTAAACTGAAATTTACTTGGATCAAGTTCCTATTTTTTAAAAAGGAAGATACTGAGCGTGTGCTAGGGACAGAGTAGGTGACTTTTCAAGGATAACATACACCCTACCCCACCCCGACACCCCCCTCACATTAGGGGTCGAGGTTTTCTGATCCCACAATCTCGCTGTGTGGTCACTAGTTACCCTCTGACCAAGTCCTGATGGATGCCAGTCTGGCTCCTGAAGCACAGCCTCCGCACTCGACCCTCCCTTGACATGGGCAGGGCTGGGCTCACTGACAGGAACAAGGCACCAGGGGCCCCCACCGCTTTGCGACAGGCTGGGAGAGGGGTTCTGAGCACAGGGCCCTCTGAGAACCCCTCCTTCCCTCACTAGGGAGCCAGGCATCCGCTGGCCAGGGGCCATGAGCAGAGCCAGCAAAAGGGAGGGTCAGCCACATCCTAGAACCAGCCCTGTCTGCTCCCCCAGCGCCTCCCGGCCCTCAGGGCAAGCTCCATCAGCCCCAGCAGCGCAGACACTTTCTGTTCTCTGTAATTACCCAAACCACAAGCCCCGAGGTGGCGAGGTGGCGTGGAGCCAGAACGCACTGGTCTGGCCCACCCCCTCCGGGGCCTGTCCTCACCTGCCTCCCCTGCTCTCAGCACCCCACCTACTCCTCCAACTCAGCGGGGCCAACACAGGAGCCCCTTTCCTGCCGTGCTCCCCAGGGTGTCAGCTGCACATGTGGGGGCGGAGGTGGGAGAGGGCATGTGGGTGGTGGAAATGGAGGTGGCAAGGGAACCAGAAACCCAACCAGAAACCCAGGACCACAGCTTCTCTCCCCCTCCAGCCTGAGGCTGGGGCTGGCGAGGCGGCAGGGCGCGGCGCTACACCTCTGCTTCATCCCTCCTTAATCATCCACTACCTGCGGTGTTCAAGCCAAGGCCTGTCAACACTGAGAAGGATCCAGAAGTGCTCTGGGATCCCATGGGGGATCCTGCCCCCTGCTAGAACCAGAGCGGAAGCAGTTGATCTGTGACCCTGGTTCACCCCCCTGACCCATGTGTGGGGAACACAGTGGGGGGAAGGGGAGGAAAGTTCTGCTCCCCCATCTGAGCTCACCTGCATCCTGGAGGCGGCAGATGGGAGGCTACGCAGGTGTTTCTAAGGGAGAGCATCACAGGCCCCCTTCACTCACTTCAGCTGCGCACGATTACCCACAAATTAAGGGAAGCTCCTGTCTGGTGATTTGCTTAGGGTGGAGCAGCTGTTAGGGGGGCAGTTTAGGTTTCATCCTGGGGTCTAGACAGTCAGGAACCAGAAGCCTGCTCCAGGGCCCTCAGGGTCCAGTCTCTTGGGGGTAAGGACCCCAGGGTGGCAGAGGTAGGAAGCAACAGGGGTGGAAGCCCTCCACCAAGGATGGCCCTGCCCACACCTGACTCTGGGTACTGTGCTGGACGGGGGGCCTGGGCTGCTCCTCTTGGTTCTTCTCACTTCCAACTCATTTCCATAGAGGGGATCCTTCCAACCCCCTCCCTGTCCCCATGACAGCAGAGTGTGGGTCCTTGCTTCTGCCAGCCTACAGGATTAGAGGCCTGGGAGAGCTGTCTGGGTCAGCACAGGGGCTTGCTGCCTCTGTGCCCTCCATCCCCTGGGTAGGCCTGGCGGAGGAGCAGAGTCCCCACATTCTCCAGGAACCCCGTCTTTGGGCTGCTGTCAATGAAACAGCTTCTCTGACCTGAGTTGATGTCCTGTGCTCACTCTCAAAGCGCCCCAGTGTGGTCGCCACTGCCACAAGTGGCTGTTTAAATCCATCAAAGTCGAATTTGAAAACTCGGCTCCTCAGTTGCACTAGCCACATGAACCAAGACGCTGTCTTACAGAGGCACAGAACATTTGCATCACCTCAGAAAGTTCTGTTGGGCAGTTCTGCTCTAGATGCTAGCCCCAAGGGGGGTGGCAGGGATGACTGGCGCTCCAAATCTCTAGGCCCAAACGGTCCAGCTGAACAGCAACCAACTTTGCTGCAAGCAGGTGACAGGTGTCTGGTGGAAAGAGCCACCCAGCCCTGCCCCTTAGTACCAGCCTGTCTCCCCTCCTTGCACAGTGGGAAACCACCCTGGGAGTGTGTTCTCCAGCATCACCGTGCACCCCACACCTTCCAAAGGGGGAGGACAGTAGGAAGCAGGAGAAGTGGTCCTGGGCAGCCTCCGGCAGCTTTGCACAGCCTGAGCAGATAGCTTGGAGTTGGGGCCAAGTAACACCCAGTGTTACTTCTTCCCTAACACTGGCCCTCTCCCGGAGTCCTCCCTGCCCAGCCCACTGGGGTCCTCCAAGGCCGGGAGAGCCGTACTCACCGAGGCCCCGGGCGCCGGGCCCAGCAGCAGGGGCAGGGGCAGGAGCAGGAGCAGCAGCATCTCCTCCTGCGGGAGAGGCCGGGTTGGAGAGGGCGGGGCTGGGGCAGGGCGTGCCCCCCACTCGGAGGCCCTGCTCAGTCCCCCGCACAGCGGGTGTGGGCGTGCCCCTCCCTCCTGGTTGCCCACTGGGGACCTGGAGAGCGGCAGAGGCACTGGAGGGGCACAGGGAAGCGCGTGCCTCTCGCACCTGGGGGAGGAAAGGCCAGAGAGGGTCTTTAGTTTCAGAGGGAAAAAAGGAGGGCCCTTAAAATACTTCCATGTTGAAAGGGAGTTCAGAATCAAAGCAATCAGATTCACTGTTTTGTTTTTTTAATGTCCTAATACCTAGCATCTCAACAGTTTTTTATTTTCCATGTCACCTTGTGTATGTGTTCCTCGTCATTTTTTTTTTTAAAGATTTATTTATTTATACAAGCACTGGGTACAGTCAGAAGCGCGGGAGGGTGAGAGAATCCACCAGAGCCAGAGCGGGGAGCAGAGCAGGCAGAAGGACCGAGGTACACTGCTGAGGGGAGCAGCGGGCGGCAGGAGAGGTCTGCGCGCCATGTGGGACCCTCCTCCGGTGGCCGGGGAGCAGCCGGGGATCGAACCGGCGCCACAGAGGCTGCGGGCAGCTTCGCAACCCAGCGCTCAACCGCTGCGCCACCGGGGAGGCCCCAGATTCACTGTTTTAACTAGCAAGAGATTCCTTTTACAAAAGTTCCCCATTAAAGATAGATTTTTATAAAGTCTCTGATGGATTCATACTGCTGTACACCTGAAATTCATGTTATAAACCAGCGTTGCATTTTTCTTTTAAAAAAGAAAAAACCAAATCATTGAAATGTTTTTTTTTTTTCATTGAAATGTCAAAAAAAAAAGTCTGAAGACACTTTAAAAACTCAAATGCTTTAAAAATGTTAATTGCGTCTTCTTTAAACCTAAGACAGCATTTCTCTGCGCGGGGAAGCTCCATAAGGAGGCTCCATCAATGTGTGTGTGTGCAGAACGCGAGTGTGGCATGTGTGTGCGTGTGCATGCGTGTGTGCATGTGCACTGCGTACAGCGAGCGCGGCGTGTGCATGTGTGTGCGTGTCACTGTCCTGCAGAGCGGCTTAGCAAAGTGCCCCATTCCGCACCACACATTAAACAAGCACGGACTTGCATGCTTAAATCTTAAAATGTGTAATTCTACCAATGTTCTAATTTTTTAATGACTCCAGTTTGCAAGGACAAAGCAGAGACTCCACAAGCCAAATTCAGCAAACCGGAGAGACGCACAGGCTCCGTTGCCTTGGCACAGCGATTCCTGCAGTCATTATTTTCAGTCAACTCAGATTCCCGGGGCTTTGACAGCTGGGGCTCAGGGGGGTGCTGCCCCCTCCCCCCACCTCGGCCCCAGGCTCCTCCACCGCAGCGTCCGGGAGGGGTAAGCGGCGACCCCGCGGGCGCCCAGTTTCGGGGCTCACCAGAGGAGCGGCAGGTGATGCTCCTCTAAAGAAGTCTTTAGGAGCGGGGCGAGCTGCCTCTGTGCCCTCCATGCCCTGGGTAGGCCCGGGTGATTTTAGCGAAGGGAGAGACCGAAGAGCTTTTCCCTCGCGGCCAGCACCAGCCGGCCCCGCGCGCTCTGCACCAAGATCCCTGACCTGCAACTCCGAAGTCCCGACGGCCAGAAAACTCATTTCAACTCATTTGGTTGCAAAACCACAAAAATAAAACCCTCTGACTCCAGGGCCAACCCCGGGTCTTGGGTCTCGGGGTCCCCAGGGTCCCACCTCCCCGCTGCCCCAGGGCCGGCCGGGTGCGCCCGGGACACGCGCGGGGGGCGTCTCTCTCCGGCCTCCCCGCGCGGGCTCACCCCCGCCTCGCGCCTAGGGACCCCCTGCGCCGTCCCATTGGACGCGGAGGACAACGAGGGGCCGCGGCCCCCACGCCGGAATCCCGCGTCCTCCCCGCCCTGGGGTGGGGCCCGCGCGCCGTGCCGGGGAGGCTCCTCGCGCCACCACCTCGCCCGGAGAGCGCGCCCCGCCCCGCCGAGGCGGACCGTGCCCCGGGCGGCCGGCCGGGCAGGTGCTGGCCGCGGCAGGGCGGGGGGCCAGGCCCACAGCCCGCGGCACCTTGGGGGGCGCGCAGGAGCGGCGCCCACGCGGGAAGGTGGCGGGAGACGGGCGGCGTCGGCTCCAGCCCGCGGGCGGCCTCGGCTCCAGTGACACGGCACTGCGCCCCCTTGGCGGAGTCGGGGGTCTCCTCCCCGGCTGCCCACTTCCACCCACCCAGCTCCTTGAGCAAACAAGGACTGGCCAATTCCTGCCGCCCCGGGGTGAACCGCCGGCGCCTTGGGGTGCGCGTCCCTCCGCCTTCCTACCTGTCTCTCCGGGCCGCGGGCTGCTCAGTCCTCGCTGCCCCACCCCAAGCCCGGCAGCGTGGCACGTGTGCGGAGGTTGGACTTTCTCTCCCCGCCCTGCTCCCCCACCCCGCCCAGCCGACATCCAGCTCTAAACCCAGTGGGAGGCCGGCGCCCCACGGGGAGACCCTGCGGTGACCGCTGGGGCCTGCTAGTCCCTGGGCTCTGTGCTGAGGCGTGGCTTGTCCTTCGCCCTGCAGACATCTGCGCTTTCCTCCTTGAGACAGGCACCAGGGGTCACCTCCCAGTTGCATTTCCTCGGCGCACAAGCCTCCCAGCTCGGTGCACAAGCCTCCCAGCCATCCCTGCCTCCCCCTGACACACAGCACACCTGTGGCCGGCTGCCTCCGCCTGGGCTCTAATTCTGTGGTTCAGCCACAGCTGAGTTTCTCCAACACGTGCTGCTGTTTCCCACAATCCAGCCAGCTTCCCCTCTGCCTAGAGCGCACTCTGGAAATAGCCTTCCTCGCAAACTCCTACTCATCCCTCAACATCCTGGTCAAATGTTACCTCTGCTGGAAGTTTTCCCTACAGCAGCCCAGACAGCTGATGAGCCCTGCTCCCTCTTCCAGCTCCCTGCCTGCCGTAACTCTAAGATGCATCAGGCTTTGGAAATCTGAATGTCCTTGGCTGCGGGTAATGCATTCCCATTGCCTGTGCCCAGGAAATGAGTTGGCATCAGGTAAGGGCTCATTAAATGTAATAAATTCAATCTCCTCTCCTACTTGTGCTGCATGTTCTCAACAAAGGCACTCCTCGCCTACCAACCCTTTTTTGGAAGTGGAAATCACCTGCCCCTGGGGAAACAGCACTGGCCCTAGAGCAAGTGGGAGGTGGGGAGTTCACAGGCCTGGCTGGTCCCCTCCCCCATCCTCTTCCGCTCAGCCCCTTGCCCCCCCCTGGCCTTTTTCCATTTCTCCCTGGCCTCCATTCAGGCAGAGAAAAGTCAAGGATGGGGCCCTCACCCCTCTTTAGACCCCCAACTCCTGCAGCTCATCTCCCTGGGTTGTCACTGATGCTCAGACGAAATGTTTATTTTAAAAAAGCATTTTAAATCTGGCCCATTTCTCACCTATCAATGAAGGGAGGAGAAGCAGCAGCTGTGTAGCAGGGGCCCCCTGGGAGCTGTGTGAATTCTTAGGCAAAGATAAAGTTTGGCAGGGAGAGGGGAGTGGAATTATCCAGAGCCTCTCTAGAAAAGGAAAACAGTTTCTTCCATTCAGAACGCCCCACTCCCGGCCCCCACCAGCCTTCCTGGCTTTCTGAGCTTGGGCAAAGTTCCCCTGGAAAGAGAGAGGAAGCTGCCTCTCCCCTGGGGGGCGGGCAGCAGGCCCCTTCCTTATCTGTCCCTGTTTTTCTTCTGTGACCCCTTCTTCCCACACACCCAGCCCCCTTGCTCCCCACCCACTGCAAAGAAAACCCAGAGCTTGGGGAGGCAGAACCCGCAGCGTTGAGGGGCAGCCTTGGGCCCGCCAGCGCGGCTCAGATACTTACGACTCGGTGAAGAACTTCTCTTCAAGCCTCACCTGCACCTGTGCACGCGGAGGCACGTGGGGGGCGGTGCCCGGAACGTAATCTGTGCACACAAAGTGGTGGTGTAGAAAGAAGGTTCCGGAAAGGTGTCAGGCCTTCCCTCCGCTGAACACCCCCTCTGCCCTTGCCTTGGCCACTCACTGGCCGGGTCGGGGCAGCTCCCGGAGACAGAGGGAGCCCCTCACACCTGGGATGGGAAGCTGCTCTGCCTCTCCTTGGGGGGACCCTGGGCAAGTCACGTCACCTCCTTAAGCCTTAACTTGCTCACGCAAGCCTCACGCAGAGGGTGGTGGAGTAAGAGAGTAACTGACTTCTCCAAACCCTTACTAGGTGCTCAGTAAAAATTAGTTCCTCTGCTCCATGACCCTTCTCCTGTATCCAGAGTCCCTGTGTCTTGATGATCTTTGCAGATCGCAGATCCAGGGATACAACCGAGAAAGAAGCGGCCAGATCTGTTTGTGAGGCTGGGCGGGGGTAGATGCTGGAGCAGAGAGGGCAATACCCCGAGAGACTTTGGCGACCAGGGGCTGCACCTCCTGCAGAAGCCGACCCTCGGAGCTACCACAGAGGTACATGCACCTTTCTGCCTCTCAGCTGTGACCTCTGCAAGGGCGGAGACATGTCCTTTTCATCACGTATCAGAGGTATGTGACCACCCTGAAGGTGCCCCTCGGGACAGCAGGTGTGGGAAGCCGCCAGGGGCCACACCTCAGGGCTGCACCCCATTCTGAAGGCTCCCCCTCTGGCCTGCCCTCTCCTGACTTTCACACACATTTCCCCCTTGCATCTCTTACTCATCTAACCTGAGCTGACTCACAGGGTCTTGGGGTGCAAACCACAGGAAAGGGCTGAGTTAACTAAAATAGAGAAACTGCCTGGAGCACGGTCCTGGGAGCTCATGAACTGAACTGACTGGAAGGCTGGGGAATGAGGTGCAGAGTGAGCAGGAACCCCCAGCAAGATCGTGACCCAGGAGCAGTTCTAGTTAGGACAGTCTTGGTGGACACTGGCCACTGCCCCCATTGCTGTAGGGCAGGAGCCACGCCACCGCCGAAAAATCTGAGAGGTCCTTGTAGACTCCAGCCCCAACATGCCTACACCGAGTGCCAGGACCCAAGAGAATTGACAGATACCCCCAAGTGGCAATTTCAGATGCCCGGGTACCCCCAGAATACAAATGCCCGCTGTCTCCCTGCTGCACCTAGCCCACAGTGTTTGTTAAACTGTTGAACAGAGCTCGGAGGTTGCTGCTGCTCTTCGGTGGTTGGTGGCTCATTCGTTCATTCATCGCTTGGGCATCGGCGCCTGCTCAGTGCAGGCAGCTGGAGAGAGTCCTGTTCCGGGGTGGCGACCAGCTCTCCAGGGGAGGAAAAATGCTGCTTTGCAGCACTTATCTCTGCCTGTGGTGTCAACACTTCATGGCTGATTTCCAGCTGCTGAGGGAGTGTCATGGCCCCCGTAGTGGGGAAGAGACTGGCACCGTAAGCCTGGGCCCCAACACACCAGTCCTCCCAGCCCCCGGGTCGTGCGTTCTGGCAGGGCAGTGCTTCCTCGCGTGTGCTCATTTGAAATAAAGCAAATCTCAAAATCCGGATAGTCAAATATTTCCAGGGCCTCCCCGGTGGTGCAGCGGTAGAGCCCTGGGTTGCGAAGCTGCCCGCGGCCTCTGCGGCGCTGGTTCGATCCCCGGCTGCTCCCCGGCCACCGGAGGAGGGTCCCACATGGCGCGCAGACCTCTCCTGCCGCCCGCTGCTCCCCTCAGCAGTGTACTTCTTCAGTCTGCCTGTTCTGTTCCCTGCTCTGGCTCTGGTGAATTCTCTCACCCTCCGGGCTTCTGACTGTACCCAGTGCATGTATAAACAAAACAAACAAGCAAATAAATAAATAAATAAACATGCCTCTAAAAAAAAAAATGCATTATCGGGCCTCCCTGGTGGCGCAGCAGTTGAGCGCTGGGTTGTGAAGGTGCCCGCAGCCTCTGCAGCGCCGGTTCGATCCCCGGCTGCTCCCCGGACACTGGAGGAGGGTCCCACATGGCGCGCAGACCTCTCCTGCCGCCCGCTGCTCCCCTCAGCAGTGTACTTCGGTCCTTCTGCCTGCTCTGCTCCCCGCTCTGGCTCTGGTGGATTCTCTCACCCTCCTGCGCTTCTGACTGTACCCAGTGCTTGTATAAACAAAACAAACAAACAAATAAA